TAATATCTCATACATTCTATCATATAAATATATCTTTTATAATAAGATATTGTCCTTTCATAATGTTCTTCATACATCAGCCTTCGTCTCGTTCATCATATCTTTCACCTTATTCTATCAAAGTTTATTTCATTCTATATTATATATGAAATCCGATTGAAATTCAATCCAATCATAAGTGTTTCATATCATATAGTATAGACATTATTCCTTCAATTTGTTTTTCGATAATCATAAATTAAGTAAAGAAAATATTTGTATTATAGTGAAGAGAAAAGATCAATTAAAGTAAAAGAAGTAAATAATATTTGATAAATACATCTTATTTTGTAAAAAAGAAAAAATATGATGACAATAGAAACAAATTGATTGAGAATCTCTATGAAATAGAACGAAAAGAAAAATTCTTTGACAAAAATGAACATTTATTCATCAGAGAATAGATAAATATATTAATTAGAGGTAAATAATCGTTTTTAAGATGATTTATTCCCGATGAATAAGAAGAAAGAATATCAAATTGTTCAATGACAATAATCTTTTTAAAAAAAGTTTGTTTTTTCTTTCAATATTTTCATCTCAACTCACCGAGTAATGAAATCGATCGGTAAATAAAAGTTGAATTTAAAAATGGAACTAATGCTTTCATATATCAACAAGAATTATACATTGGTTGATTCTGTTTTATTTTGTGTAGTCTACTTGACCTTAAAAAGCTTGTATGAAACATTGTCTATCGATCTAGTCGATACTTTTTTTCGTATTATTCTCACCGTCCGTGACCTCTTCTCTTATATATATATATATATGCACTTTATGATTGAACGTCACTTATTTTCCTCTGAATATATAGAAATGTATGTATTAGACGATTGATACAATTGATCGTGTGAATACGTTAAGTAAAGTAACTATATATTTCTTTTCTCTCTCATTTATTTGTATGCGGATAGTGACTGTGAGATAGATTTATTTATCGATATCATATGAATAATTAGTTTCAAATACAATATCGGTTGTCATTTGAGAAGTCAATTTAAAGAAATCTTTGTCTTTTTTTAGATGTATTTCCTATTAATTATGATTCTCATATCAAGAATTGATTTAAGTTTTACACAATTTTTTACCAATAACATCTGATTTTGATGCTTATGGTCTTAAAATAACTGGTAATGAAATTATGTTAATTGAAGTGTTGGGTGATCTTCAAATCTTCTCTATTCGATTTTCTCCATACAATTCAAAATCTGAATCTCTTCAATGTTCAATTGAATACAATGAATTAACACAATATGTACATTCAGTAGGTGTTGGTAAAAAACAAAATTTAACTCAATCATATTTCTTTTTCGCTGGTGAAATCATATCCAATAAACAATCATTGACTAGTTTATCTCACAATAATAGTTTCTTCATCGGTATATTATCTCATAATGATTCAAAAAACGACCAGGATACAAAAACATCATTAAATTGCGATCATTTTCAATATGAATCATTTCAATTTATTTCAGAGTATGATCATCAAGAGTTTTTTGTCTTTAGTGTTGAACCTTATGGTCAATATGCAATAGGTTTAGCAAAAGATTTTGTTTTTATTTATCAACCATTTTCTGGCAAAATGATAGAAATCAAGAATAGTAGTCTTGTATGGCCTACGAACACAACATTCTTACCCATAGCAGCTGATACACATGTCTTATATACAATTGTTGTTGGATTCGTTATTAATGGTCCTTTATTTCGAGTTCGTGCAACTCCGACAGTTTATGTTATATCAAATTCTAATCTGACAATATTATCAATATGGTCTTATACAGCTGCACTTAATTCATGGCAATCATATTTAACTTATTCAAATCTTAAAAAATGGTCAAATCAATATGCTATGTCAATTAATATTAATCCTGATGATGCAAGTCAAGTACTTGTTGGTATGCCATTTCTTAATATTGTCTTTTTATTGATTATTACTATGGGTGATAGTAATATCAAATTAAGTAGTTTTATCGATAATGGAAATTCAATCGGATTTGGAAAAAGTGTTACATGGTTACCGAATTCTGATGCTGCAATTCTCAATTCCAACTATTTGATTCATGATTCATCAAAAATTTATTTATATAAATCATTAAATGAAACAAGTTTATCATCACCTACGACTATATTTCCTAATATTCATCAACCATTACCATCAACAATAAATAGTCATTTAATTCGAATGATTTCAACTCCAACTTCACTTGTTCTACTTGCAATTGATGGAGGAATTTTTCATATATTACCATCACCGCCTGGATATTTTTCATCAACAACTTCCGTGATAACTGATTCAATATCAATTGCAAGTGAACCAATGATTTGTATGCCTGGTACATATAAAAGCGAAACAAGTATTTTTCCATGTTCTTTATGTCCAAATGGTACAAAAAATTCGGGTGGTCAATTGTCTATTTCATGTATTAATTGTTCATCGGATAGTTTTTGTCCAATTGGATCTGTCATTGATCTACATAAAAGTGTTCTTTATTCCCAATTACAAGCATCTGTTCATCCACGTTCACCTGAAGTGATCATATTTGATGAAATTCTTCTTCAAAATATGTTTTCAATTAATTCAACTTATTGTATGCTTATTTCACCTCTTTTTTGGGTATTAATCGTCATTGGTATTGTTATTGTAATATTAATTGGTATGGGTATACTTAAACGATATGTTAAACATCCTAAATGTCATCAAGTACGTCATCATGTTAAGAATATCTTTCGACAAATTGATCTTATTGTAAGTATTTGAAAATATTTAGTAATTCTTTCTTTTGAAAACAATTTCATTAGCATGAAGGTGAAATGTGGATATGTGGATTGGTTTCAGTTGGTATTATTGTTCTACTTAGTTTTGCTTATACATTTTCGGTGAATTTTTATCTGGAATATCCATCTGAACATAGTACTCCAGCAACATTTGTTTGTAATGAACAAATTCGAAACGTTAAATATGAAAGTGGTTTACAATCACTGGCAATTCCAGCATCGAAAGAAGAACAACCTATGTTATATCTTCTTAATAAACAACATTTTACTGTTCAATTAGATTTATTAAATACTGTTGCTTCATGTCAAAGTTTATCTGTTGAACAAATTCGTGAATCAACAGCAGCTCATGTTGCTTCTAATTGTACAGATTCTATGGGAATTTTATCATCGATTTTAGAACTGCCTTATCATAGAGTAATACTCAAATGGAATCTTAATGATATTGCATTTATTGGTGCTATACGTATTCGTCTTTCGGCTAATGAAAATAAAAATGATTTATATAAACTGAAATCACTTAATTTCAGTGAAACATTTTACGATAATTCAAATCGAACATTGGCTCAAACAATACATATCAATTTAGAATTGACGAAGGTGATTTTTATTGTAAAACACAACAAAAATGTTTTCTTTACTTTTGTTCTTTTTTTGTGATAATTAGGCGATTAATGAAACCGAATCACTTACAAGTCATGAATCGAAATTTTCGGGAATTTGGTATCCAACATTTGTAGCTGATGCAAATCATATGTTTATTTCATCGAGTGAATATATTAAATTATCAAATTTAACATCAACTCGAATAACTCTTACAATAACTGAAACATCGTATTATATTAAAAATCGTCAATTACCTATTGCTAAATTACGCGAAATTATTTTTCATAATCTTCTCTTTACTATTGTTTGTATTGAAATATTTCATTTATGTATTCTTCTATGTAAATTAATGGTTATTCCTCCATTGAAGTTTATTGGGAAATATTTTGTTAAATTGAATCAATTTGTATCGAAAACAGAGGAAAGTATTATTCGTGATATTCTTATGGATGATCATAGCACAATAACAACAACTACAACAACGAACGATTGTGATGTTATTCAAATAAGTTAATCAATAGATAAGTTTATGTCATATTATTTATCATTGTAAATAGTCGACTTCAAAATTATACTATCACTTTTGTGTATCAATTGATATTATCTTAATAAATCGTTTTTTCTGCTACACTTACACGTTTTTGCACATTGATGTGAATAATTCGAGGAACAAAAATGAACATTTCATATCTTGAAGGTGAGGGTGAGGATGTTTTGATATTAAGAAACATACTCATAATCATATACCCTCCTATCCTATCCATTCGTTCATTCCTATGTCAACTGTACCCAATTTCGCAACATCATCTTCACTCTCGGTCTCCTCACCCACGTCTAGTAGGTTGTATTATTCTCGAAGTACATACATGGCATTGATATTAATCAACGAAAATATATTAGTTAGTGGCGAAGAGGGTATGACTGCAACTGTGAGTACTGCTATGCTGTACAATTCATCATCCGAATCATGCGGACACTTACAGATGATATGCGAACTGTGCGCGACATTCTCACACAACATCTATACTGACTAATGAAAAAGTGTTGGTAACAGGAGGAGATGATTCAAAAGGAGAATTAACTTGTGTAGAATTATATGATCCACCATTAGGATTACAGAGAATTACTGGGAATATCCTCGTTTTTATATCGTTCTGAAATATATCAATAATAATAAATGAACTTTTCTATTGTAATAGAATATGCATGTGAGATTTGAAGGGTTCGAAAGAAATTAGAAAAATTTCCGAGAAAATTGTCTTTTTTCCTTGTTTATGAGAACAGGAGAACGAACGGAAAGAAAATCGAAGCAAACCGATAACACGTGTTCTTTTGTATCGGCTGATGTTGTTTTGAGGGTGAGAAAAGTGGTTTTTTTTCATCATGGGATAAATTTTCATTGTAAGATTTCTTTAATTTTAAAAGAAAAAGTAACATCTTCGCTAATTTCATTCAGAATCATTTAAAGTTACTCAAAACCTATTTTTGGCTTTTCACATGGATTTTTTCCCATTAAAATACCCAGTTTTGTTATGACATATAAACATCACATAGCACAGAAAGAAAGAAAAAACACTTCATTTCATTTTAGTAACTTATATTCATTCAACTCGGTCAGAGACAATGCCAAATAAGAAACGACAACAAGGTACAGTTCTCAGGTTTGAGACAGCCATTCGATATTTTTTAAAATTCATTTTCAGCTCGCCATAATGCAAAACAAGCAACAAATGATTTACACGAGGTTTCTACCCCAGTCTTTTCACCCTCAGTCGCTGAATCAGAATTAACCACTGACTCAACGAATAAAGTTGAACTCCCCGTCACAACAAATACGACATCTCAACCGTCAACTGTTCCTAAACCAGCATGGGGTCCTCGTCAAGAACCACCTCAAAACATTACAACACCAAAACCGGTTTGGGGATCAGGACAGCAGCCATCTGCCATACCCAAATCAACAGCTGATTCTTCAACGAGAACTTCCACTCGAATTGAACGTTCCTATAGTGTTGTTCCAACAACAAATCAACCAACACGAAATTCATCGCGCGAATCTCGTTGTCAAAGCGTTGTTTCCACACGACGTAGACGATATATTTGTTCAGTAGTTCCTGATAGTGCCGTATTAACACCAATTCGTCGACCAGATAACGGTGGAACAAGTGGAACTGAAGTTTTAGTTTATACAAATCATTTTAAAGTCGATATGGACGATGCGATTATCAATCAATATGATGTCGACATTCATTCGATAGACAATCGAGGAATAACACGATCTGCACGAAAAGATGAACGATGGGAAGTTGTTAAAAAAATCGTTCAAGAAAATGAAAATTTTCCAATGGTTTGGTAAGAAGATTAATTTTTAAAATAAATCAAAAAGAGATTTCTTTTTTCTACAGGTATGANACAAAAATGTTTTCTTTACTTTTGTTCTTTTTTTGTGATAATTAGGCGATTAATGAAACCGAATCACTTACAAGTCATGAATCGAAATTTTCGGGAATTTGGTATCCAACATTTGTAGCTGATGCAAATCATATGTTTATTTCATCGAGTGAATATATTAAATTATCAAATTTAACATCAACTCAAATAACTCTTACAATAACTGAAACATCGTATTATATTAAAAATCGTCAATTACCTATTGCTAAATTACGTGAAATTATTTTTCATAATCTTCTCTTTACAATTGTTTGTATTGAAATATTTCATTTATGTATTCTTCTATGTAAATTAATGATTATTCCTCCATTGAAGTTTATTGGGAAATATTTTGTTAAATTGAATCAATTTATATCGAAAAAAACAAAGGAAAGTATTACTCGTGATATTCTTATGGATGATCATAGCACAGTAACAACAATAACAACAACTACAACAACAAAAGATTGTAATGTTATTCAAATTAGTTAATCAATAGATAAATTTATGTTATATTATTTATCATTGTAAATACTCGACTTCAAAATTATAATATCACTTTTGTATATCAATTGATAGTGTCTTAATAAATCGTTTTTTCTCCTATAATTACACGGTTTTGCACATTGATGTGAATAATTCGAGGAACAATAAATTGTACTTTCCATTAGATATGTTCGCAGGGTGAGAACGTTTTGATATTAAGAAACATACTCATATTCATATACCCTCCTCCAGTCGTTCATTCCTATGTCAACTGTGCCCAATTTCACAACATCATCTGCACTCTCGCCCTCCTCACCCACGTCTAGTAGGTTGTATTATTCTCGAAGTACATACATGGCATTGATATTAACCAACGAAAATGTATTAGTTTATAGTGGCGAAGAGGATATGGCTACAACTTTGAATACTACTATGCTGTACAATTCATCATCCGGATCATGGACACTTACAGATGATATGCTAATTGTGTGCGACATTCTCACACAGAGTCTATATTGACTAATGGAAAAGTGTTGGTAATAGGATGAGATGATTCAAAAGGAGAATTAACTCGTATAGAATTCTATGATCCACCATCAGGATTGCAGAGAACTACTGGGAATATCCTCGTTGTCGGTAGCGAGTATAGTTATACGGTTTTGTATCGTTATGAAATATATCAATAATAATAAATGAACTTTTCTATTGTAATAGAATATTCATGTAAGATTTGAAGAGTTCGAAAGAAGTTAGAAAAATTTCCTAGAAAATTGTCTTATTGACTTTGTTTATAAGAACAGAAGAACAAACGAAAAGAAAATCGAAGCAAACCGATAACACGTGTTCTTTTGTATCCGCTGATGTTGTTTTCAGTGAGGAAAATGAGTATTTTTCATCATGGGACAAATTTTCATTGTAAGATTTCTTTAATTTTAAAAGAAAAAGTAACGTCTTCGCTAATTTCATTCAGAGCCATTTAAAGTTACTCAAAACCTATTTTTGGTTTTTCACATGGATTTTTTCCCAGTAAAATACCCAGTTTTGTTATGACATATAAGCATCGCATAGCACAGAAAGAAAAAAAACACTTCACTTCATTTTAGTAATTTATTCATTCAACTCGGTCAGCGACAATGCCAAATAAGAAACGACAACAAGGTACGGATCTCAGGTTTGAGACAACCATTCAATATATTTTTTAAAAACATTTTCAGCTCGAAATAATACAAAACAAACCACAAATGATGTACACGAAGTTTCTACTCCAGTCTCTTCACCCTCAGTCGCTGAATCAGAATTAACCACTGACTCGACGAATAAAGTTGAACTCCCCGTCACAACAAATACGACATGTCAACCGTCAACTGTTCCTAAACCAGCATGGGGTCCTCGTCAAGAAGCACCTCAAAATATTACAATACCAAAACCGGTTTGGGGATCAAGACAGCAGCCATCTGCCATACCCAAATCAACAGCTGATTCTTCAACGAGAACTTCCAATCGAATCGAACGTTCCTACAGTGTTGTTCCAACAACGGCTCAGTCAACAGGAAATCCATCGAGAGAGTCTCGTAGTCAAAGCGTTATATCCACACGACGTCGACGATATATTTGTTCAGCAGTTCCTGATAGTGCCGTATTAACACCAATTCATCGACCAGATAATGGTGGAACAAACGGAACTGAGGTTTTGGTTTATACGAATCATTTCAAAGTCGATATGGACGATGCGATTATTAATCAATATGATGTCGATATTCTTTCGATAGACAATCGAGGAATAACACGATCTGCACGAAAAGATGAACGATGGGAAGTTGTTAAAAAAATCGTTCAAGAAAATGAAAATTTCCCTATGGTTTGGTAAGAAGATCAAATTTTTAAAATAAATCAAAAAGATATTTCTTTTTCTATAGGTATGATGAAGGTAAAACATTGTATACACGAAGTTTATTGACGGATTTTACTAAACCGATTGAAATCAATATGAAAAGAGGCGATGAAACAAAAAAATACCAATTAGTTATTATTAATCTTGTTCGACAAGATAAAATTTCGAATATATTCGATTTTATCGAGAAGAAAACAACAACTCGACCACGTGATACAATCAGAATTATTGAGACACTTTTTAAACAACGTGCAAGAAATGATCTCATTTGTGTTCGAAACCAATTTTACAATCGAAATCAAATACTAGACGATCTCCGTATGTGGATCATTTTCTCTTTCCATGATAAACATTCATTTCTTTTCGTAGATGATGGTCGTGGAATGGCCAAAGGTTTCTATCAAGCCTTATTTTTAACTCGATGTGGACCAACGTTAAATGTTAATCTGACATTCACTTGTTTTTATATACCATTGAAATTCGTCGATTTTGCTTGTAAATATCTACGAAAAGATATTACGAGAAATTTTACTGAACACGAAGGAAAATTATTTCAAAAAATTCTTCGAGATTTACTGGGTATATGAACGATTGTTTCCACCATGAAATCAGTTATTCTTGTTGTTTTTAGTTGAAACAGAACATACAGGTCGAAAAATTCGTTATAAATTCCGTCGATTTGGTCTTCCTGCAAATCAATTGATGTTCACTGTCGGTGATGAAAATGAAAATTCTTTAGCTCAAAAGATCAGCGTTGAAGATTATTTCAAACAAAAGTATCATATGCAACTACAATATCCACATTTACCATGTATTGATGCAACTAACGGAACCAATAGACGAGCGAATTGGTTGCCAATGGAAGTTGCCAGTGTAAGTCCATTCATTTCTCTTTTTTTAAGAAGAAAAATTCCAATGAGTTTAGATTGTGGAATGGCAAAGATCACTGAAACCATTAGATGCAACACAACGAGCATTGGTTTCGGGTAAATCGATCATAAAACCCTTAGAACGATATAATCAAATAATGAGTATAATGAATTCGCGTGATTTTGACAATGATGTTTATTTGAAAGAATTGAATATTCGTGTACAAAAACAAGAAATGCTTTCGGTCAAAGCTCGAATACTTAAAGCACCAACGATTCAATATCGCGGACCAAAACAACAAGATATTATCGAATCCGTCAATGTTGGTAAATGGAGAATTAGGAATTGGTTTTACAAAACAACAGAGATTTATTCCTGGGGAGCGATTTATTTCGGTTCAAAACCACCGGATAACGCAACAAAAGAGATTCTCAATAACTTTGTCGGACAATTTCCTGAAGTAAATCATCTTCTTAAAGACATTGTATCAATGCATTTTCATTGTCTTTGAAGTTACTCAAACGCAAAGGTTTCGTCATTCGATCAAAATTCGATTTACGACTTGAGCCCGATCGAAAACAAAATATCGAACGAGTTTTAACGGATGCGAGTCAAAATCGGTGGCAATTGGCTGTGATTATTCTCGATACAACTATCGATCAAGTTTATGATTATGTTAAACAATTAGGAAATCAACAATTAGGACTTCGAACACAATGCATCGATATGAATGCATTGAAAAAGAACACAAATAATTTCTCGATGTGTAAGACAATCTTCGAAAAGCTTTCATTTAGATTTGTTCTTTTGTTTAGATGTGGACAATTTAAGTCAGAAAATTAATGGAAAATTAGGTGGAATTAATAGTTTTGTGAATACAAAACTTGCGTTAAGTCGATCATCGAAAGAAGATGTGTTTATGTTCTTTGGAGCAGATGTATGTCTTATCTATGTCGAAAGATTTTATTGGAATTATTCTTTGTTAGGTTACTCATTCAACATGTTCGACGGATCGACCATCGATTGCAGCTGTTGTTGCTTCACGTGATCCAACAAATACTCTTTATGCTGCTCGACTGTGTGAACGTAAGATTTTGAGAAGAATTTCAAATAAATTCGCAATTCTTTTCGTTGGGAATAGAATATCCGAAAAAAGGTCGTTGTTCATTGGAAATTATCAAAGAATTGGATCAAATGGTTGCGGATTTATTACGTTTATTTGCACGTACATGTGGTGGACGTCTTCCGAATAAAATTGTTTTCTACCGTGATGGTGTTGATGAAGGACAATATCAAAAAGTATTAGATAACGAAGTGAACAAAATCAAACATGCGTGTCGAAGTAAATCTTTGTTGATTCTGATTGATTCTTTCATTGAGGATTGATTTTAGTTGTTTACGGTGCCAATCCATTACCGAAATTGACTTTTATTGTAGTCAAGAAACGACATAATACACGTTTTTTTCTTTATCAAGACGGGAAAACGTTGAATGTTGAAGCAGGAACAGTAATTGATCAAGGAATAACTCATCCATCACAATTTGATTTTTATCTTTGTTCACAAGCAGCGATGTAAGAAATTTTATTTGAGGAAATTCGAATGAAAAAATTCTTTTCTTTTTTAGAATGGGTACATCTCGACCAACACTTTATCATGTTCTTCACGATGATATTGGATTTAATAGTGATGATTTACAACAATTAACATATTGGTTATGTCACACAGATATGCGTTGTACGAAATCAGTTTCCATTCCAGCACCTGTTCATTATGCGCATCTAGCAGCGTATGGATCACGTTCGTTGAAATTTGAAGATGATCGAGATTCAGAAGGGTAAGAAGAAATTTTGAAAAGATCTTTTTCGCATTGAAATCTTTAGTTCGATGATTGATGGTGATGATGATGATGAACCTCAAACATATTCACTTGACGATATTCGAACACAACTGATGATTCTTGATCCGAAAGTGGCTGATGATATGTGGTTTATCTAAATTGATCTTTAGTTGAAGAACTTCAGAAGTCTTCTGATCGAGAATGATATTATGCAAGCAAACCATTTTGAATATCTATACTTAATTCTCTCAGTTTCGGAAAAATAAAAACTTCAGACTCAGGCGTAAATGTTATTTCGAAAACTTTTATCAATGCTAAACAAACTTATAAAAATAGAGTGAAGTAGAATGCTATCTTTCTCATATTGACTCAGATATAATGATATCATGGTTTATTCCGAATGACGTATATTGGAATTTTCCTTGACACGTGTGTATTATTATATATACGCGTGCTGTTGGATTTCTCATTTTCAAAAATAAGCGAAGCTCTCAGACACTTAATCAACGAAGAAAAACAAAACAGGTAAGAGAGCATTTACGAAATCCATAGAGTATCAGTATATCTGCAGTTATATATAGTGCCCTCTGTGATAAACAAAGCATAAAGGTACATAGGTGTTGTATATGATATCATTTATATATCGAATTCTTTTCTCATACTGGTTATTTTTTCTTTCTTGCCTTTTTCGACATCGTTCTAATCCATTGATTCTAATCGCACGCATACGTCTTTTTGTTTGAAGGTACTTTCGTGTACGACTTAAAGAGATTTCAAAATGAGTCCACGCACTACTCACGTTGCGAACGCTTGCGATTGTCCAATCTGGGTCACATGTATTCCGAATCAACAAACTTCTGTTTCATTTGTTGCTCAACAGACCGAGAATCTCAGAGCAGAGGTTAACCAAGGTGCAGGAAATGCTGCAATGTTATCGGGTCTAACTAAAATCAATCCAGGTAATAAGTTGGCCTGGGTAACGAACACAAGCCACTTTAGTGGGGAAATGGTTTATATAACGATTTTCTAGGAAAAGAATGGTCAGTATAAACCCGTGTGCTTAGGGTTTGTAGTGGAAGCGAATAGAAGTGTAATAGTTGATGCTGAATATTGTGTTAAACGAACAAAAATGGGTGAAATATGGATTGATACCGATGGAAACGACCATAGCTGAGCTTTGAACGATATAAACTTTAAATTACAAACCCGTCTACAATCAAAGCATTTTAGTCTGTTATTTCATCCTCACTGCCGAAATTTTCGTTGGCTACCATCGTTCACATCTCAGATGTTCTATTAAAATTGATTCCAAACTATACATACGACCGTGTTTATCCTTTGTTCAAAGGATGTCTTGCGATATGTATGTGGGTTAGTTTCGAGTAGAATTTCAAGTTTCCAATAATCGCGATTTCGCTCTGTATTCCATTGATCAGTATAAACTAAATTCAGAAATCATCATAAAAGATCCTAAATATATGAGTAAGACTCTAGAAAATTGTTAATATCTATTTGATTTATATCTATATGATCGGAAGGGAATTAGAAAAAACGCCGAATACTGACAACAATAAAACAAAGTATTGAAATTTCTTTCTTCATTTCATTATGTCAAAAACTGCTGAAAACAGCAATCATCACAAAAACAAATTTCACATTTGTTGCATTGTAATAATTGTTTTGAATGTTTTCCACATTGACAGCATTTATTCTTTAATACACAATGATGTTTACATTGATGATCAAGATATTTAAAACCATAACAATGGCCGATTTTGTGTTTACCACGGCAAAAATGACCGCAATTTGTATTTCGACATACAAAATGCGTTTCAAGTTTTAATTCGGGTGTTGCTGGTGTAGGAGGAGCTACACATGAATATAGAAGCAAATTAGGTAAGTTAATAATCATAATTGTATACTTACAAGTTTTTGATGTTAAATGTATAAACACTGAACCATCAGTTTGATGTTCCACCGTTTTCATTACGAGCAGTTTTGCTCCTGGGAGAATACTTCCATCTGATTTCTTTTCTGGAAATATGATCACTTTCATTTGATTATTTTCTGTATAATCACCCACTAATCTGCCATAATTCGGTTCATAAGCAAGAATAATACTCGGTCCATTCAGACAATCTTTAATTTCATCAATTGAAGTTACGGCTGAGCCAAGTGAAGGATATAATGGTGTCGGTCCTGAACTGAACATAGAGTTTGATGAATTTTGGTATCTCATCAGTTTCTCTTCGAGTTGTGAATCATACGAAGTTCCTTGAAAAATCGTTGTTTTTGCATACGGTAATTTATCCAACGCATTTTTCAATAATTTCAAATATTTGAACCACGGTTTGACTTGTGCGCGCTGTCCTGAATCGAATGCTCGCTTTAATTCCTCGCATAGCGATGATGGTTCCCAATTCATTGAATAAAGATAAATCGCAGCTGATTCATCATGAGTAAGACGGTGTTTCGTTGAACGATTACATTTAGCTTTGGCTTGTGCGATACACTCAGGTAGATGCGCAATTTTACGGTTGGTAAATTTCAAAGCTTCTTCAAGTGATACATCTGGTTCATTCTGGTAACCATCGATTAGTTTCGAAATGTTTTGGGTAGTAATACAAAAATATTCAAAATGTTTTCTGCCAGTTTTTCGTTGAGACTCATTCGTAGTAGGTTGGACATAATTACTCGGCAATCGCTGTATTTGGGGTTCATCATCACAACAACAACAACGACAACAACAGCAACAACAACAATCGAGACTGCTACATGAAGACCCCATTTTTGTGTAACTTCAGTGTCTGAAATTTTACGAGAAAAATTGAAAGAAATACATTTTATTCGCGAATTCAGATCATTTTAAATACTTGAGGGCAACGACAAATACTTTTCTTTCTTATACCAACACAAATACTATTCAATACTCTGTTTTACTACGAGAAAAATTTCTAGAAATTCTTATTCATTCCTGCTCGAACTAAATGTAAGATTTCGTGAAGCCTTCACTGAATAAAACTGTATGTTTATAGCAAGACAATTAGTTCTATGAATGGCAGCGAAATTTATTCTGTCTTTACCATTTTTCGTCTAATAAAAATAATGTTTTGTTTCATTGTCATCAATGAAACATTCGTGATTCTTTTTTTCTTTTCTTCCTACTAAGAAAGAAACGATGTACCTAGAATCAAAATAACAACACAATTCTTTACACACGATTTTTGACGTTCAACAGTATTGAACGATACCAATACAATCTTTCAAATCTTTAGCAAACTGTACATCCAGTTTACGGTGGAACTCGTAAATCTTGTAGAAGAGTGGTTGGTCGCTCATTGTGAAATAGTGTGTGATCGATATCTAAAGAATACGCAACGATGAAGAATATTATCATTCAGATTTCCAGTTATACATCAAACAAACCATGTCACGAATGGAAAAAAATTCAAGTTTTTCATCTTTATTCTCTTCTGATAGTGAAACAGACGAGAAGACATTCGATGATTTACCAATCACTGTACGCGAATTCGGATGAAATCTATTTCTTAGTCTTGAGGTTGAACAAGATGGATTCTTCGACGGAATTCTGAGTGAGAGAAAAGTATAACGAACGGATAAAATAAATGAATAAAATAAGGTAAAATATAGAAGTAATCGACAACAAATTGAGGAGAAACACCTCCAAGATAGAAATTAATATAAATCGCCGCAGTTTGGAGGGGCGCCCAGCCTAAAACGTAGAGAATTGTGACACTTAATAGCTGAAGGATCAGTTTTCTATCGCGTTTCCAATCAACTAAATTCATTTGCATTCGACGTTTTTGTAAAAGAAAACGAAGAAATAAACTAAAACTCAAACATGGAATCGAAAATATCGGAATCCAATTATTAATTATTGTATCAACATTTCCCATTAAAACATTAAAAAAATAACACGGAGCTAAACAAAGTAATTGATTATAATTATATTCCGATTTACATGGATAAACAAAGATTAAAATCAAATAAAATATCCACGGATAAACCATACAAATGACTATCGGAATAAAATGATATTTGAAACGATCTGTCCTTCTTGGAAAATGATTCAAACGAAAGATTAACCAATGACGTTCACTACAAGCAAATGTCATTAGAATTAAATTACTTATATTAATACTATAATGTATCCATGTCCAAATGGAACAAAAAATGTCATTCGCTGGTTGAACATATGATGTGAATAAAAACGATTCACTTAATGAAATTGGAATTAAAACAAAAAGAAAACTACTGAATAATAAAATTATAATGATATCATTGTGAATGGAACGACGAAGAGTTTCAGTTTTAATGTATCGAAAAAATAAATATATTGAACAGATTAACGATGGAATTTGAAATGCGAGAAAACAGAGAAATTTAATTCGATTGAGTAAACGAGGTGAAGAGACGATGATCGCATTTTCAGACTCATTCAACATTAGTTCTTCTGAAACATTTCTTTCTTGTCTGAATGAAACTATTTAGATGAGGTTTAGCTGAAAGAGGAAATGGTTAATTAGAAGTCTTTCTTGTTTTTAATTAAAACAACATTTCTTCTATTAACACTATATCAAAACAATGTCAACAGATGTCTCGAGTATACTTGATTTTTATAGAAGATTTTTCCATAAATCTTAGTTTCGTGTGACGATAACTTCACATCGGAGTGATTTTGATACGGAATTTATTAAGTCAAAACTTCATGTGAACAAGAAATTTATTGATATTGTTTTAAAATATTCATCGGTTTATCAAAATCGGTTAAAGAACCTTTGTCTAAAACTAAAATCTGATCACAATTCTTCACAGTGTTCAATCGATGAGCGATAATCAAAACCGTTCGATCGGAAAACTTCGTTGCAATAACATTTTGAATAATTTGATCAGTTTCATAATCCACATTCGCTGTTCCTTCATCAATCAATAAAATCTTCGTTTTTCTCAAAATCGCTCGTGCAATACAAATCAATTGACATTGTCCAAAACTTAAATTTTCTCCTCGTTCATTAATCATCATCTGCAAACCAGCNATCTAAGAATTCAATAAATAATCTAACAAAATGTTCTTCAACTTGAAAAACACGAATTGGAATAAGACCATTCAATGATGACGAGTAAAGACTGTAAATTGGAGCGCGAGTTAAACTTTCCAATTGTTTTAATTGTCGATTTGTTATTCGAAACAAATGAGCAAAATATATAAAAACTGGAATTAAAATGAGAAATAAAATAATCATATAAGGATTTGTCAAAGTTATCATTACAAATGAACCAAATAATGTTGATACTGTTGATAACCCAAAGATGAATGATCGTGGTAAGAATTCATCAATGATTTGTTGATCTTTACTCACACGATTGAGATTTCTTCCTATTGGATTACTTTCATAGAATTCCATTGATGTACATAACAACCCTTTAATCATTCGATTATGAAAACAATGTGTTCCATTTAAGAATATATGAAAAAAAAGATTTATCGAAAGTAAATTCGTTCCTAGAAGACTTATCGTTAAAATGGAATATTTATAAACGAAACTAATTGGATGAATCTCTTCTCGATTGATTTGTCTTAATGTTTGTCCAATCCAATAATTTGTTCCATCGAATAAAATTTCGCTGAACAGAAATAAAAGAATAAAAAGACAAAAACCAGATAATCCACATGGTGGTGCAGTGAATAGTCGATTCCAAAGCGACCAATTGGAATATATTTCAGTTGGTTTTTCATCACAGATGATCGAAGGATGATCAATGGCACCGGATTCTTTGTGTAACATTGTTTTTATGAACGAATCTTCTTCTTGAGTATTTCGATCTTCGTTTACAAAATTTTCGTTGAATTCTTTTTGAAAACCATTAGAAAGATAAATAATTTGATTCGTCTCTTGAAGAAATTCCAATTGATGTGTCACTAACAAACGAGTTTTTGTTTTCAACAAACCATTCGAACCAAAACATCTTTCATAAATTAATTTAGCCACAGCTCGATCAACAGCCGCCAATGGATCATCAAACAAATAAATATCCGCTTTCTTATACAAAGCACGTGCTAAAGCTACTCGTGCTTTTTGTCCTCCGCTCAGATTCACTCCTTTCTCGCCAATCATTGTTAAATCACCTCGTGTTCCCAATAAATGAAGATCTACGTCAAGACAACACGCGTAAATGATCTCTTGGTATCGTTGATCATCATAGATTTCATTGAGAAGAATATTGTTCCTTAAAGTATCGACAAATATCCATGGAGATTGAGAAACATATGAAAATGAACTTTGGTTTGTGTCAATTTCACCTTCGATGAGATTCATTTCGGCAAGAATAGCAGCGAGAAATGAAGATTTGCCAGATCCAACTTGACCAAATATTCCAACGAAACTTCCTGCTGCAATTGAAACGTTTAATGAAGATAAACAAATTTTATTCGAATTCCAAGAAAAACTCGCATTTTTCATTGTNTTCTTTATATACGATTTTTGAACCGTACATACAGTTTACGGTGGAACTCGTAAACCTTGTAGAAGAGTGATTGGTCACTCACTGTGAAAGTTTGAAAGAGGAGTCGCCCAGCAAATCTGAAATTAAATGAAAAACTTGTCTCTTTGGGAACATGACCGGTTTTGCAATATGTAACATCATAGTGTTTCATCGATATCTAAAGAATACGCAAGGATGAAGAATATTATCATGCTGATTTCTAGCTGTACATTCAAACAAATCATGTCGCGAATGGAAAGAAATTCAAGTTTTTCATCTTTATTCTCTTCTGATAGTGAAACAGACGAGAAGACATTCGATGATTTACCAATCACTGTACGCGAATTCGGATGAAATCTATTTGTCAGTCTTGAGGTTGAACAAGATTGATTCTTCGACGGAATTCTGAATGAGAGAAAAGTATAACGAACGGATAAAATAAATGAATAAAATAAGGTAAAATATAGAAGTAATCGACAACAAATTGAGGAGAAACACCTCCAAGATAGAAATTGATATAAATCGCCGCAGTTTGGAGGGGCGCCCAGCCTAAAACGTAGAGAATTGTGACACTTAATAATTGGCGGATCAGTTTTCTATCACGTTTCCAATCAACTAAATTCATTTGCATTCGACGTTTTTGTAAAAGAAAACGAAGAAATAAGCTGAAACTCAAACATGGAATCGAAAATATCGGAATCCAATTATTAATTGTCGGATCAACATTTCCCATTAGAACATTAAAAAAACAAGTAGCGCTCGTCGTGTCGACTCACTTAACCCTCGACTGTGGAGAACAGATATTTTTGTCATGTCGCAATTGTGAGACAAATTGATGTATCAGTGTTTTATATATGAAAAAACAATTCAAATGTTTTTGCGCAGATATACTTAGGAACTTTCGAAAACAAAATACTGAATTTCTTTGTGTAAAAGAGCATTTGAATTGTTTTTTCGTATATAAAACTGCTAGATCAATTTGTCTCATAATTGTGACACGAAAAAAATATCTGTTCTCCACAGTCGAGGGTTAAGTGAGTTGGCACGACGTGCGTTACCTGTTGTCATATGCAACAAAGTAGTTGTTTGAATTTGATTTTGATTATTATTATTTCAATAAGCCATCTGATGATCTTCTTAGCAGAAGTGAAATCTAGATTATGGCAGCTAATCTCACTCACACCCTGAAATTAAAGACAAAAATAAGAAAAATTTTTTCTCTTTTTTTTCCAATGATTTTTTTTGTTCGTTAACATAAACTATATAGAAAACATATATGACTTTATTTAAGAAATTCCAAAATCAGACATTTTCTTAAAAATCATTAAAATCAATGATTTAAACAAACTTTTTAGTTGGTGATTTTTCTTCTATAAATTCAAATGTAAAGAATCAATTTGTTTCTATTCAAAGAATAATTTCTTCAATAAAAAATGTTCTTTTTAATTTTATTTCTCTTTATTGGCAAAATATCAGGTAAATTTTCTCTAAGGAATTCAAATTAATCTTAAATTATTTAAGGAATTTCGTATAGTCAACCAAATTTCTCTTTTAATGCATTATGGAATCCAAATGGAACAACAATTCTTAATGAAACTTTCATTGGATTTGATCTTTTAGATTTTTTTATCGATCAAAATAATACATTTTATATTCCAAATCGAAATACAGGACAAATTCTTCTTTTTTCACAAAGAAATTTAACAAAAACTATTTCTATAAATTTAACAAATTCATCAACAATATTTGTAAAAACTAATGGAAATATTTATGTTGATACATTTTATTCAATTTATGGTGGAATTAGTGAAATTAAATATAATATGATAATAAATCCAATTAAAAGAATGAATTTATGTCAACAATGTTTTGATTTATTTGTTACTGAAAATGATATTCTTTATTGTTCATTTACGGAACGTCATCAAATTCTTGCTAAATCATTAATTAATAATTGGAATCTCTTATTAATTGTTGCAGGAACAGGTACACAAGGTTCAACATCAACAACACTTCGATATCCTCATGGAATATTTGTTGAGAATTTAACATCAAATTTATATGTTGCTGATTGTGGAAATGATCGAATACAATTATTTCAATCAGAAAAATTAACTGCTATAACAATTGTTGGAAATGGATCAATAAATATAACAATTAATCTTAATTGTCCAACAGCAATTATTTTAGATACGAGTAAATATTTATATATTGCTGATTCCGGTAATAATCGTATTATTGGTCAAGAAATCAATGGTTTTAGTTGTTTAATTGGATGTTCAAATTCATTTGGTTCAGCATCAAATCAATTGAATCAACCGTTGAGTCTAAGTTTTGATAATTCAGGAAATATTTATGTTAATGATCGAGGAAATAATCGAATACAAAAATTTAATTTAATTCGCCCTGAATGTTTCTCTTATATAACAATTAATGATCCATCACGATTAACTACAGACAATGGAGGATGTTTCTTATGTGATGCCACAGTATTTAATTCAACTACCACATGGGTTCGATTTATTGGTGCCGGTGGAACACAGCTCGCCACTACTCCTCCACTTTCAAATCGATGTAGAACATGTGCTGCTGGTTGGTATAGAGGTTCATTACCAGCACCAGGTATGACTGTTAATGGAACAGTATGTTATGTATGGAATTCTGATAATTGCAGTATGCCAAATCAAATAAGTGCAACGAATTGTGGTTCATTTTATGTATTTGGTCTTGTTGCACCACAAGCATGTCTTCGTCGTTACTGCACAATATGAACAAAACGCTGGAATTTTATCAATTTTCTCTTTACCTTTTGAAACTTTCTACATGAAACACAATGATTATAAGACTAAAAACACTGACATATTTTGTTTTCTATACATTTCATCTGAATTGTTTTACTTGAAAATTCTTATTAAAACAATATTGAAAATCTACTAAGTTTATTTAATTAATGTATAAAGAATTAGTTTTTTCCCTTGATATTTCTTTTGAAGATAAGTTAAGTTTATTCTCCGTTAAATTGATAATAATATTTATCATTACCACGTTTTTATGTTTGACATAATTGTATAGATAATTGAACCATACAGTAGCTGCCTAATTCGACTTATAATATAAGTGACCAATTCTTAGCACCCTTAGGAATAGAAATAGATCTAGTTTTACTTATACATACATACCCCCACACCCCGGTGAGTTTAGCAATAGAAATAGACCTATTTTCAGTTATACATATATACCCTCACCCACACCCTTCTGAAACATTTCTTTCTTGTCTGAATAAAACTATTTAAATGAGGTTTAGCTGAAAGAGGAAATGGTTGATTAGAAGTCTTTCTTGTTTTTAATTAAAACAACATTTCTTCTATTAACACTTTATTTCAAAATAAAGTCAACAGATGTCTCAAAGTATCTTCCGTATATGAAAACCTCTTCACAATAAACAAAAGGCTATATAAAGATGTGTTTCTGTCTCAAGTATACTTGATTTTTATAGAAGATTTTCCCATAAATCTTAGTTTCGTGTGGCGATAACTTCACATCGGAGTGACTTTAATACGGAATTTAATAAGTAAAAACTCCATCCGAACCAGAAGTTTATTGATATTGTTTTAAAACATTCATCGGTTTATCAAAATTGATTACTGAACCTTTGTCTAAAACTAAAATCTGATCACAATTCCTCACAGTATTCAATCGATGAGCGATAATCAAAACCGTTCGATCGGAAAACTTCGTTGCAATAACATTTTGAATAATTTGATCAGTTTCATAATCCACATTCGCTGTTCCTTCATCAATCAATAAAATCTTCGTTTTTCTCAAAATCGCTCGTGCAATACAAATCAATTGACATTGTCCAAAACTTAAATTTTCTCCTCGTTCATTAATCATCATCTGCAAACCAGCTGAATATTTCTTAACAAATTCTTTTAGTTGAACATCTTCTAAAACCGTCCAACATTCTTCATCCGAATGTTGATTAAATGGATCGAGATTGTATCTTAACGTTCCGCTGAATAAAATTGATTGTTGAGGAATAATACTCAGATTCGATCGAAGTTGATCAAGTGTTATTCGACTAATATCAACATCATCGATGCGAATTTCTCCTTCGATATACGAACGATTCGGAAAGCGAAATAAACTCTTGAAAAGTGATGATTTTCCTGCGCCCGTTCGTCCAATGATTCCAATTTTTTCTCTCGGATTAATTTCGACATGAATATTTTTCAGAACTGGCTCAACACTCGATCGATATCGAAACGAAAATCGATCAAATTGAATTTTTCCCTGTTCAGGCCATGTGAACAACGTTTGAACTAATTGTTGTTTTCCTCCATAATCTTCTTCATTCAAAAGTTGTCCATATTCATCAATACGTTCTGCACTCGTTTGAAACAAATCTGTTTCGACTAATCTTCGAATACTTCGTTGTGGACGATACGCGGCAATCATTGCATAAACTAATGTAAATGTAATCATCGATGATTCAAATTGTTTATGAAAATAAATGATAAACAGAGCAGTACCGAATAAAATCAAACTTGCTAAGAATTCTAATCGTAAATAACACCATTGACCTGCACTTTCGATATTTAATTGTGTTTTGATATTCACATCTAAGAATTGTGTAAATAATCGAACAAAATGTTCTTCAACTTGAAAAACACGAATTGGAATAAGACCATTCAATGATGAGGAGTAAAGACTGTAAAATGGAGCGCGAGTTAAACTTTCCAATTGTTTTAATTGTCGATTTGTTATTCGAAACAAATGAGCAAAATATATAAAAATTGGAATTAAAATGAGAAATAAAATAATCATATAAGGATTTGTCAAAGTTATCATTACAAATGAACCAAATAATGTTGATAATGTTGATAAACCAAAGATGAATGAACGTGGTAAGAATTCATCAATGATTTGTTGATCTTTACTCACGCGACTGAGATTTCTTCCAATTGGATTACTTTCATAGAATTCCATTGATGTACATAATAAACCTTTAATCATTCGATTATGAAAACAATGTGTTCCATTTAAAAATATATGAAAAAAAAGATTTATCGAAAGTAAATTCGTTCCTAGAAGACTTATCGTTAAAATGGAATATTTATAAAAGAAACTAATTGGATGAATCTCTTCTCGATTGATTTGTCTTAATGTTTGTCCAATCCAATAATTTGTTCCATCGAATAAAATTTCGCTGAATAGAAATAAAAGAATAAAAAGACAAAAACCAGATAATCCACATGGTGGTGCAGTGAATAATCGATTCCAAAGCGACCAATTGGAATATATTTCAGTTGGTTTTTCATCACAGATGATTGGAGAAGGATCAATAGAACCAATTTCTTTACATAACATTGTTTTTATGAATGAATCTTCTTCTTGAGTATTTCGATCTTCGTTTACAAAATTTTCGTTGAATTCTTTTTGAAAACCATTAAAAAGATAAATAATTTGATTCGTCTCTTGAAGAAATTCTAGTTGATGTGTCACTAACAAACGAGTTTTTGTTTTTAACAATCCGTTCGAACCAAAACATCTTTCATAAATTAATTTTGCCACAGTTCGATCAACAGCAGCTAATGGATCATCAAATAAATAAATATCCGCTTTTTTATACAAAGCACGCGCTAAAGCTACTCGTGCTTTTTGTCCTCCACTTAGATTCATTCCTTTTTCACCAATCATTGTTAAATCTCCACGTGTTCCCAATAAATGAAAATCCACGTCAAGACAACATGCATAAATAATCTCTTGGTATCGTTGATCGTCATAGATTTCATTTAGAAGAATATTGTTCCTTAAAGTATCGACAAATATCCATGGAGATTGAGAAACATATGAAAATGAACTTTGATTTGTGTCAATTTCACCTTCGATGAGATTCATTTCGGCAAGAATAGCAGCGAGAAATGAAGATTTGCCAGATCCAACTTGACCAAATATTCCAACGAAACTTCCTGCTGCAATTGAAACGTTTAATGAAGATAAACAAATTTTATTCGAATTCCAAGAAAAACTCGCATTTTTCATTGTAATCTTCCCTTTCTCCTCTGATTGTACCGTTGTGAAAGAATATTTATCATCTTGTTCATAAATTAATCGTAAAAACGAAGAAATTCGAGTGAATGCGAACTTTGCTTCGATGATTTTCTCGAGAGTAAATGAAAAATAATGCATAAAAGTATCTCGAATGAACGAAAAATACGCTAAAGCAATAAATGTATCAATAGTATTCAATGAATAATCAAATAACCACGCACTACTGAACGTAACAAATGCTAAGAGTGATGAAGAAACGCAAAATAGACTAATTGACAAAGCACGACAATACGAAGATCTTCGAATATACGAAAGTTCTTTTTCACGTAATTCAATAATTTGTTTCTCCATTAATTCTTCCCAATTATTCATTTTAATTACATCACATCCAGAAATCATTTCATTCAATGAATTCACACGTTTATCACTATAAAATGATGTTTTTATTCGATATTTCCCTAAAACATAAGCAATAATCAATTGAATGAAAACAATGAGAACAATAACCGAATATCCAATTAAAATCGGAATGGGTTCCATAATTGACGAAAGAATAATAAAAATAATCAATGATCCTACAAGTCCTTCCCAAATTTTATGTCCATAAGTAAATGCATCTTCTAATTTTTGTGTATCATTGGCGATTAAATTGATCATATAACCGAGATTCATTCGTTGCCAAGTGATCGATTTGATTTCTAAAGATTTCTTGTAAATAAACGACATAAATCCATGACGTATTCGCATTCCAATACGAAGAGAATGAAAATCAGCTTGACGATAACATATTGAACTGGTAAATGAACAAATAAATAAGAGAATTGCATAGAAATAGATGTGAAATGATGATTGATCACGATTTAAAACATCGTGAACGATCTGTCGAATGAGTAATGGTAAACTTATTTGTAAAAATAATGATGGAACATGCAATAAACCAGCAATGAAATATTCTCTCCCGAATTCTTTGACTAAAATTTTTATTATGGAGAAGTTTTTCCAATTATACGATTGAAATCGAGTTAATAAATGTGAACTTTTGTCATAGAAAGGTAAATGATCGAGATCATCGAGTGTTAACAATTGTTTCGAACCAATTGACAGAATAGGGTTAATCCACCACCAGAATAATAAATGAAAACAACGATTCCAACGGGCTTCACACCATTCGAGACGTGATGAATTCGAATCGAACAAATTCTCTTTGTTCAGCAATCTTTCGTGTTCATCATTGATCTCTCTTGACATTCTCTTCCAAACAATATCTACTTTTCCAATTATACCGAAACGGTATTTTTTATGGAAAAAAATTTTCGTTTATATAGTAGACATTGAAGCATGTCATTGTTTTCGTCGCGATATGTGTGAAGAGTTGTCTAAAGGCACACCTACGAAATATTCATTTCAACAAAATAGTTTACAATGAGAACAGAATGTTCATATTCGAAAACGTTGAAAGTGGGTGTCGAAAAAGAAACATGACGAGGATATGGATATTATGTAAGAAACACGAGAAAAGAGGAATACGTAATTTTGATTTGATTTCACGAAAATTTTCCAATGAAAAAGTGAAAACTGATTTTGATTGCACTGATCAATTTGTAGTTAAAAATATTTTTGACATCAACAACATATGTTCGTATTTTCATTTGATTAACCGTTTTCTTCAAATAATTCTTTGAAAATCTTCATAATGTCTTGCATGTGCCAAACAAACTTTGATATTCTTATGTTCACTCTCGTATAACTTGATCAATGCAGATATTTTCTTCAAATTTTCTTTTGTTGCATCCTTATCACTATGTAAGTAATAATTCATTCGCCCTTCGTATTCTTGTAAATGACTTATGTGATGCGCTGAGTCGCCAGCCAAGAGTACGTATGTAGTCTCACCAGTTTCTGCCAATGCCAATTGATGTCCGGGCATATGACCAGGAGCGTCGATTAACAATAGTTAATTCACGTGTTCGATCCGACGGGAATGTTGATTCAAGAAAACATGATTCGGAATTGATCGGATAGGCTGGACGAGCGAATGCTTGTGCGGTAAAGATGGATTTCCACAATGATCGAAATGTGGATGTGAAAAGATAATTGTTTTGATTTGATTTGGTGAAATATCGTGTCGTCGAAGTACATCACCAACATCTTCTTTTATTTCTGGTTTAAATATAAGTGGAAAATCTTCTTTCAATTTCGGTGGATATTCATCAAGTTCTTTCATAAGTCCAAGGTCAAATAGTGTATGTGTTTGTGTGGATGGATGATAAATATAAAATGACCAGACAGGACATGATGTCGATGCGTTTTTGTCGCCATCATTGAAAAGCATATGATCACGGAGAGAACATTGACCGGTATAAGTCGCACGAACTTCAACCGTAGCTGTTGATGACATTTTTAATATGAATGCTTTACTGATGTGAAGAAATAGAGAAAACAGATTTTCAGATTAACATTTAAAACAAATCACAACTCTACAGAAAGCGTAATACAATGAAATGATAGTACACTTGATAACTGAAGATAAGAGATGTGTTTCTATTTTTATCTCTATGTGATAAATTATCAACCTTTTATGTATAAGTATTTTTCGTATCTTTTAGTTAAGCGAAGGATATTCATGGCTATGACCTTTTCAATCTTTCATTATCGTACACGAAGCAGAGAACGCAAGAAATCCTCGGGATGAAGAAGTTTAATAGCTACATGCGTTTTTCATCCGTAATTTTGATTTACTTCGAGTGAATAGATCAACACATGAAAACTGTCTGCATCGTAGTATGCCAATCACACAGAGAAATGTCCCAATAAAGAAATACAATACAATGAAAAATAAAAGAGTTTTATTTTTATCATTGCTATCTTTGATCCACGACAGACTCCTTTCAGTCGAGCGAGCTTCTGAATTTCATAGTGAACATAATTAAAATTTACAGTTTCACCAACATTGACACATCTTTCACAAAAAATTGTCACAAGACAAAATAACATTTCTCGAAGATTTTATTTGACTTTAGAAAAATATGAAGAAGAAACCAAAGAATGAGTTTATCTTGATTCAATCATCGTCGGCAAAACTTACTGGATCCGGCATTTCGTTCATGTTTCCATCTCCATCAATACTTGAACAATACGTAATCGCATAATTCAATCGATCATACATAACATCCGTCGACGAATATTCTGGTAAATCCAGAGCAAAACTACATGTATGAGATCCTGAAAGAAAGTTCAGATTAAAAAATGATGATTTCTTCTTGATAGTTTCAACATGTGACTTACTTGGTAGTGCTCCATCGATGGGACCATTGGTTACATGAAATGAATTTGATGGAAAAACTAGTTGTAAATTCTTCATCACTTTTAGGTAATGTTGATCTTCCCCAAACGGATATCAAGAATAATTTTTTTCTGTTCTTCCGTAAACATTTGACCGAGAACGGTCCAAAATCTTTCGATAACTACCGAATCTTGACTATAAGAAGAATTATAGTTCGTATGACGTTTCAATAATTCGATATCAATTTCTCCTTTTCCACAAACGGCTTCTTCCAATTCATTAGCAGTGAATAAATTCAAATAGTATCCTGGAATAATACTGTATAAACCTTGTCGGATAAATTCGATTTGTCGATGAAATTCATTAAGACGATAGTTTCGATATCTTTCACAATATTCTTTCAGATTTGACATCGTAACGGGAATTTGTTGACCATTGGGAATAAGTTCAAATGTTGTTCCATTTGAACTGACAACTTCAAATCGTAATTGATCTAAAATACTACTGAGTAAATCCTGAATTTCATCTGTTTGATCATTATTTTCTAACAATTGTTCCATTTGATTAATCATTGTAAAACTTTGTTGATCAATTGCTTCAATATCTTCACTGATGATTTGTTCTCGAACTAATTGTTTCCATAATAAAATTGGGAATTTGCGAGGTTGAGATAAAATTTCTTTCGTATAGCCATACCCATCAATTGTCCAACAAATCGATAATGATTGATCGTTCGATTGAAAATGATTTCATCTGGTGAATAAACATTAGGAATCCATTGATCACAATTCGATCCACTATTCGTTCGTCCATTTGGACATAAAATAAACAATGATAAACGTTGACTACAAATATCCGAACAAATACACGTAATTGAATCTCGATAGGGTCCACTTTGATCTGTACTATGCATAGCGAGATATTGAGCACGTCAAAGACGTTCATTCTGTCGTCGAAATAGGACTTGAGCTTTGTCATATAATTGTCTATATGCTTGATGAAACATTGTGTGTGAACCACTCGTAACTTCACATAGATTAAATCATCCTCGGAAGTAAGTTCGGTCATCATCAGACTTGTATTGAACAGTGGAAACTTTGTTTTATGTAATATGTAAGATCGAATCTTATCGGTTAGAGTACTTTCTTCCGGGAAGCGATTCAAATTCACATAAGATATCAGATTTTCGGCAAGAAGGTTTAATTGATATATAAATTGAATACGAGTTTGAATACAAACGCATGGAATATGCCATAACGATGAATACATTTTAGATAAAATATGACTTAGTCAATAGTACATTGTCATCGTATCTTTTAGCTCATTGGTCTCAAGTTCTACCATCGTATTTTCCTTTCTCTTGAATCAATTCGATTTGATTTCTTTTTCAGTTAGATGTTCAGTTATTTCTATGAAAATATATTCCAAATAACGAATCAGTGACTTACTCATCGAACAATCCATGTCAGCAAGCAAATATCCAATTAACATCAGATTGTTTATTTATTCAGTTTTCTAATGAAATTCATTTGAATCAAATGAAGAATTCAATGACTATTCAAGAATTTCTCAATAAATTATCATGATGTCAAAATGTTCATCTAATAAAACAAGATTTTCTATCAGAAAGAATTACACATCGAAAAAAACTTCAATTATTATTGTATTTTGAGTTTCGAAATCAAACAGATATCATTGTCATTGATTCTTCATCTTGATTCAATTGAAGTTCGAAGTGAATCAAAGCCAAACACGAAGAAAACCTTCGATTTCAAAAACTTGAGTATCCGTTCGAAATGACCGCATGTTTGCTGTTCGAAAAGCAAGCAATTCTAGTTCATACAGTTTGTTATCTGTTCTTCCACATTCAACAATGAGAAAACTTAAATGATTTAATCCATTAATAAGGATACACATGAATTGTAGTAGAAGAGGATGATGACAGTCTACTTGGATGATCTGTAATCGAGGAAGACGCTCAACGATCATATGAGCAATATCAATTATGTTGGGTGTATCACTTGTAATTCTAAAAATAAGTTCACGAAGACCATTTGTCATGAGCATTTCACAAGTTGAAATATTATTTAAAAGGTCCATTGTTAATAATCTTTCATTTTCACGCAGATCGGTAATATCATTGATAACTTCATCTAATTCTAATGTATGAAGATGGGATGTATATGACAAAATGGAATGCAATTGTCCCATTTGTAGTGGCTCCTTAATAGTTAGATGAACAATTTGACTCCACGGGATGATAGATGGTAAATATGAAATCATTTGATCAACGAGTTCAGGATAAGTACATGCATTGACTATTAGTTTGTTAACAAATGGAAAACAATGTTTTGGACGATAAAGAGCATTTGACCATCGATCTTGTCTAGAATCAATTTAAAAAAAAAACAGGTCTTTTTGTATTAAACAATTGTTTCTAGAAGACTTACGCCAATCGATTAGAAACATTCCAATATCTTCTCAAATTCAATTCACGGCATTTCCGTGGTAATGTATACGCCCAAATATAATATCCATTTCGACACGTGTCGAATAAAATTTCCATCGGTTTCCGACTTTTGAGCGTTCGAAAAGTGTTGACCATGATGTTACTAATTGTCGATTGTTCCAGATCCATTGGTGTTGTTCGTCGATATTCATGAAGGTCGAACGAATAACAGCATTGAGAAGATAACATTGATAATAATTCTTGAACAACTAAACTACTGAGAGATTCGGCGATCAATGAGAAATATGTGAGTTGAAAGAAGACATCACGAGTAAATAACTGAGTTGGTAGTTTAATACCATCGGTACGCCCGGACCACAAGATCTTCAGACGATGTAAATTGGGAACCATTGATACGTCAATAGAAGAATTACATCTAAATATGTCGATTAGAATAATCAATGATTTTCGATACTAGTGCAGATTGACGACACTTTGGATATACGAATTGGTTCGACTAATACACGCATCAACGAATGGGAGTATTGGTGTCGTTAATCTGCACTACGTAGTACCAATCATTTCATCAGACGATAATACTTACATATTCATCAATGGATATTGGCTGGAAAACCAAGATTGACATAACCCGACGGCAAGCACTTGCAACTGTGGCAAATGTCGAACAAGGTGCGACAAAAAATGAAACGAACAAGTCCTCAATGAGAGTGATTGTAATCGCGCGAGCATACTGTTGACAGGTACAAAGGATGAATCAGTCGAGAGAATAACATTAGACTGAAAGGGATGGACCATTGAGGACGTCAAAGGTGTAAAATGAAGTTGACATATATGTAGTTGTGGAAGTGAACGAAAGATTCGTTCATGATAATAGCCCTCAGGCAGATCATAGTATGTTGATGCAGCTCCATCGTATTTAGTAAATTTGACATCGAATCGTCTCAAATGCCTAAGACATGACAAAACACTAAGAATTGATTCGAAATCAACGCGATCTATATCGAATAATATCAGTTGGCGTAATCCAGTAAACAAATGAAGATGTGAAGCAAGCCAAATACCATTTCCAATTGACATCGTATTTGAGACGATCAAGCAATTGACATGGCTACATGTTTGATGTTCGGAAAGATATCGATGGTAGAGTTGTGTCGTAGTCATATTCATACCATTGACACCTATTTTGACACGATCAAGTGGCGTATGAGTTAGAATGGTAAGAAAACGATTATTCAAGTTAGAAAACGCTGGAAGAAACTCGTGCAATTGTAAATAAGAAAATATTTCGTAGAATAATTCAACAGGTAGACATTCGAGTGACGCTGGCATGTTTATCTAGATATTGAACACAATTCAATGAAATTTCTTCCTATTACGCATGATATCAACATATATAAAGCATCTTTGTTCTATCTGTCGGTCATTGTGATTATTTGTTTCTGCATCGATCAATTGAAATGGCAACATTTTCTCTTTCTGTTTCTCATATTTTTCAAGAAATGATCTCTCCATCAAATTGTTCAACAAAATGGTGTTAGACTTTGTCTTTTTGCATACTTAGTATGATAATTGGATGAAATTCTGGACTCTTGACTAAGTTTGTTAAAGATTACTGGACAAAATGAAAGAAATTCTCTTTCTCGAGCAATTTTTGAGAGAAGTTGAGGATAAAACGATGTCGAAATGGATGAGAACGACAATTTTATTAACGCAAAACGATCGTTATGAAGAAATGAAACATGAATGAACGTTTACTTTTAAAGAGAAAAAAGAATAAATGAATAACTGAATAAATAAAAAGAGAAAGTCATTGTATGAAATGATCACTTTCGACGCATATACTCTGGTGTGTGTTCATCACAATCTGAAATGATTAGGCTGGCTTCGATTGAGAAATGAAAGAAAAATTCCTTACCGGATACTTTTAGAGTTAATCATTCAGTGTCTTTTTTTAGTCGTTGACGACACCCCCACACACCATGGAAACGTAATTATTCTCATCGGTAACGTAAACAGTAAAAAATATTTCTTGATTTCCGCTAATAGGAGGCAATTTATCTTTGTCCACAAAAAAAATGAGGGAATTTGATTAACAAGAATATCGAAAAGTATTTCTTCTTGAAGATTTCTTGAAGCATCTTCAGCAACATGACGACCAATGACATGAAAAGGTCGATTCAAGCCACGTCCTTCTTCCGTGTGACGAACGAAAAAGCATATTGTGTTGGTGTTGATTTTGCCATCTAACAATTCAAAGAAAGTTATTTGGCTACTAGTATCAAATTGTACTTACAATAGCTAATCAAGCTTGTGAATGGTAATAACTGATAAGATGAACTTTAACAAGAAGACAGAAATAGAATATTAAGTATTTATTTCGATGTTGATATTGTTAATGCTTTTTTCACAAAGTATATTTCTTGTGTGTGAATGGATTCGATAATAAGAAAAGATAACAAAGTCTTTGTTCTTCTTTCATATAGTGGATAGATAGATGGACAGATGTTTGTGAATGAATTATTTGAAATTTATCCATTTCTGTAGAATGTAATCAAATAAATGTCTCTTTCTTTGACATTGATTTCTACGTATTCATACGATTTTACACATCGAAGTAGAAACATTAACCATTGATTCCGATACAATGCAATGTCGAACGTCGTGCTTTGGAAATAGCAGATTGACGCTTTTCGAAACGAATTACTTTCAGATTTCATTTCATTGGATGAGATTTGTTTTAATTCGTTAAAGATGAACTGATGAAAAATCAATAGTTGTTGTTCATTGATCATTTCGGATGAATCACCATTGAGAAAATGTTCACATAGTTGTAAAACATACAATCGAAACCAATTGAATGCGATGTAATGTGTTATGTTCACTTTGGATATGTTGAGACAAGTAATGAGCGGTAAAACTACGTGTGGAAGGATTTGTTTTTCATGTAAATAACGAAAATCTGTTGATTTATAAGAAAAATTCAATAAATGTAAGATTAAAATTGATTGAGTATTGGAAAGAATGTTTTCAACAATTGAATAATAGATTTGACTGATTTTATCTTTCAATTGAATATTTGCAGCAGAGATATTTTCGAGATATGTCCATTGACTATGTTCATTTCTTAAATATGGACAAGAGATGAAAGAGAAAAGCTTCGAATGAGTTTTCTGAATAAATGTGGAAATAAATTGATAAGAGAATAAACGAAGCATTGCTCATTCGTTTTGGGAAGACATTGCTTGAAAAATGTCGTTGAGTTCAGATTGAAAATTCTTCAATGAATCATTTCCATAGACGAAATTCGAGATATTTTCATGTAAAACATCGTCAAGATTTGTCATTTTCTTCTTGTTTAACATTAATGTTTTCAATCGTAAACACGCTTGAAAAGTATTTCGGAGTAAACGAACTGAATCTTTTCCAATTCGTCTTCAAAAGCGAGACGTTCTTTTAATTCCAATGAAATCGTTGACAATCGGCACCTTGTGCTCGTGTTCGCGCAAATAACATTTGAACACGATCGGCATAGCGAAAAAGTGAGAGAAGACTTTGATGAGGTTGACCAGTTCGTTGGAAATCTTGAAGAAGATTTATTCGACGAAAATGTTTCACATAAATGAGCACACGCGTCTTTCGCTTGCTTTTCAATTGATTTTTGTAAGAACACGAGTCTCTCTTTGCTTAACGATCGTATCTTTGATATGATTTGTTCACCTTCATCGATATTATTATAAATTGACATTAAAAGTTCGTGACAATCAGAAGTCATGTTTGATTCGAATAAATTTTGCTTTTCAAGTCCACTGGAAAATAATGACAACTGAAATTTATCAAGATGTTTCATTTCGAAGGCAGTTTTAGGAGAACCGATGATCAAAGTACGAATTATTTGTCCAACTACTCGAAATGTATATGAAAAACCAACATCTTTCTGTTTCAATATTAATTCAGCTAAGATCGGTAAGATAGATCGAATGATTTCGAACTCAATGTTTGTCATTAAATCTAAACCAAATAGAATTGATTTGAATAAATCATCGTTAAAGAATTGTTCGATATTTTGAATAAAAAATGAAGAAATTTCATCATCAGTTATGTTCAAATATTCATTTCGATATTTCCCAACGAAAAATTGAACAAAAACAAGTTGTTGAAATCGTTCAATGAGTTTTCTACTGGAGAGTTGAATTTGAATGTTTGCTGATGAATTGAAATAAACATTTATCAATGAATTCCAAATAATCCAACTTGAACTTGTTGTTTTTGTTTGAAAATCTGTTATTAAATGTTGAATCCAATTGATTAACATAACATTCGTTTTTAATTCATTTAAAATTTGTTCGATGAAAACAAATCTTTCATTTTCCAGAATATATTTATGCATTAACGTTTAATTTATCAATAAATGATTCGGATTGTTTATCGATTAAATAAATCAACGCTTTCGATGCTTGTTGATGAATATTTATTTGAAAATTTTCATTTGTTAATGTCAACAAAGTCTCAAATCAATTATCGAATTCTTCGTTGTTCATAAAACGATTCCAATCGAGATTCTCGTTCGATGTTGTTTTCGTATTCGAAAAAAGTTTTTTATGATGATCCGTTGTCATCGCCGAAAGAAATTTCAGATGTGTTGTTAACAATTTCAACGAAATATATACAACAAATTGTTCATTGAGACTTTGTCGAGTTGTTGAATGGTGGAAAATAGAATTTTTAATGTTTCACCATCGAATTCGAATGAAATCGATCTTTTCATTGAACAATGTTGAAATTTATATTTGCTTTGAATTGTTTGATCGATGTCAATATGAACAAAGATGACACATGCAACGAGTTGACCAGAAAAGGTCTTCTTGGAAGTGTTTGTCAATTTATCGTTTGGATAAACATTGATAGATGTCAGATAGTTCAATGCGTTCGATAAAATATCGTCTAAAGAAGAAAGAAGACTCGAGGGTAATTCCGTTACGTAATTTCTGAATTAAACTGAAAGGAATTGATTCTCAAATGTGTAACGTAGCATGTTTTGACTTGATTTTTCGAGAGAATATGAAGACAAACCTTTTGATGTGTTTTCTTCGGAAATTGTTTTTGAATCAGATTGATTTTGTGCTTCCCATTCATGACGAATTAGTTCAAAGTCACGATTGAGTTGCTGGAATAGATTTTCAACATTGCCAATATTATTTGTATCGAATAAGAATTGTTGAAGTACATAAAGAATCTCTTTGAGATAAACAGTATGCTTTGCAACATTTGATAAAATATTTATGAGTGGGTGTTGAGAATTTCATGATGAAGAATCATTGTGACTATGACTAAATAACTTTGAAATATTGTGTTTAGCGGATTTGAATAAATTTGTCAGTTTCAAACCCGACGATGTGTTTTGTTGATTTGTTGCGCTTTCTTCTTGTTTCGCAGGATTTGTGTCATGGTTCTGTTTGTTGTCGTCGAGTTGTTTCATGAATAATTCATTCAATTGTTGTTTCTTTTCAGATAAATTGTTGATTTCTTTCATAACTCCTTCGAAATCAGTGATCATTGATGAAAGAACACTTTCCTTGAAATGATTGCTCTTTTTTTGAATTGACCATTTTCAATTTAAGAATATCGGTTAACTGTAGAAGATTAAGCTGAAGTCGATGGATCATTTCTTTCTCAATGTTTGTCACTCGATTGTTTCTGATCTTGTCGGACAAAAATAAATTCACATCATCATCATCTTCTTCTTCCATATCTTTTGATATATTTGCAAAATCAGTAAAAATATGACCATCGATTTCCGTTAAGTCAATCGATTGAGATTCGACAATGGATAAATGTTGACCCATTTATTATTTGGATGATATCTAAAAAGACTTGAACCTATAAAATTGTAGTTTTTTGAATAAAAATGCTACTGTACCTCACTGTGCAAACGGAATATTTGTCTTCCGTTCTCGTGTGTTAAAAACAAACCTTTCCCCTTTTGACATCGGCACAATAAGCGAAAATATGTTCGTTCTGCTTTTCTTCCTGTTAATTTCAACCAGTAGTTGTTTGTGCTCGCCAACACATTTTCTTCAACTTGAGATTGCAAGGTAATAATGCAACATAGTTAAATTATCGAAAAGATTTCAATAGCGAGTGTAAATGGATTGAAATCGGAGTTTTATTGGTCCACATTCGTCATACAAAACTCACTTGACACTCAAAACAATTCTTGAAAAGATTCTTGCTATTGGAAAAGTCTCATTCACTTCCTTTAAGAATGAGAATCAAGAACAAAATATCACGCAATGCAATATGAAATTCACGGTACATTCTATACCAAGCAATCCTTTGTTTCGTAGTTCCACACACTTATCGATATAAATATTCAGATAGAAATGGATTCTACCAAAATATTTCATTATGAAAATACACAAGTGTAAACGAAGTCAATACAACCGAAGAGTGGAGCAATCCTTATGTGATATCAATTTTATACTATCACAAGTTAGCATACGTCTTTCTTTCATATTCATCTATTAGAGGACTCATGACGCTACGGAAGTTCGTTTTACGTTGGAAAACACATGCCGTGATTGCTTCATGGATTATACTGTACCTTTTAATACGTCTATATTTAACTGTATATATTAACACATATCATGTCATTAGTTCATTTTAGGCCATACACATTATACGTGATGACGGCTGGATTCTGCATCTACTATCATACGTGAATGAATTCGTATGTGTAATCAATGAAAAGAACAAAACAACGACCTACTCAATCGACTATGATTCGAGACACTTAAGCTATAAGAGTATATGTCTAAATGCTTTCATCAAATCTTAATCATTTGTTTCTTGATATGTGCAATGATGTTTATTTGAAGTAAAGTTTCAAGATGGTCTCTTTTAGAAGATTGCGAATTCATTTGATAGGATCAAGTGAAAAAATGCAAAGTGGCATTCTTGTTTCACGCTGCGTCTGGAAATGCATCTCATTTCTTTTTACAAGACTCATTCAGACTTTACAAAAAAAGGTTTTCGTTCAAACCTTTTCTTTATTAAACTCTTAGTTGAACTTACAATAAATAGATTAGAACGAAAGACGTTCTATTCACTGCGGTGAAAAGAATTTTTTGAGACTTCGTAACACAATAATACATGTTCCTCGCTATACTTTTGGATTATCATAGGTATGAATGACAACATCGTGCAGTTTAGCGCCGACAAAGGAAGGGTGCACTGCGACGAAAGAAGACAAGTTTGTGAATGAAAATCTGTCATATGAGGCCGAAAAACCAAGGCACACATACGGAAACTGTCGTATATATACATAGAGCAATAGAGGAACTATGCGACGCGCTAAAATGGGTTACACCCGAGTTCCTCGACGGTGTTTCGAATGATCCAATCAGCGTTGTTAAAGTCGTATTTACCGACGGTAACATTGATGTTGAGGTTGAAGTTGTCCAGGTGGGCTCTAACGTTCTTAAAGTAGTATTTGTAATTGGTACCATTGGCGTTGAAGTAGTCGTGATGAACTCTGAAATTGTTGAGCTAATCGTGGTACTATTCTCTGCAGCGTTGGAAGTAGATGTAGTACTCGACTTTAAAGTACTCGAAGCAGTCGTAGTGCTCGGTTCTGGAGTGTTCGAGGTGGTTGAGGTACTAGACTTCGCAGTGCTTGAAGTGGTTGTGGTACTGAGCTTTGCAGTGTTCGAGGTGATTGAGGTACTAGACTCTAAAGTACTCGAAGCAGTCGTAGTGCTCGGTTCTGGAGTGTTCGAGTTGGCTGAGGTACTAGACTTCGCAGTGCTTGAAGTGGTTGTGGCGCTATTCTCTGCAGCGTTGGAAGTAGATCTAGTACTCGACTCTAAAGTACTCGAAGCAGATGTTGTGCTCGGTTTTGGAGTCACTGACGTGATGAATGTGCTTGATTCTAGAGCGACAGAAGTGGTTGTAGTACTAGGCCATGAAGTATTTGCAGCAGTGGCTGTGCTCGATTCTGAATCGGTTGATCTGGTGGATGTAGTCGAATCTGGAATGATTGAGGTGGTCGTTGAAGTTTCTGAGATTACTCTTGTAGTTGTTAAAGTTGTGTTTGTCAATAACGTCGTTGTTAGCGTGTGTGTAGTGATGGGCTTAGCGGTGGTTGTGCTTATAGGTGAAGAAGTAGTTGATTGAGTCGTCGTAACGATCGTAGTGGTTGTTGTATCTGTTCGTGGCGTACCTATTAGAGATTATAGAACAAGCCAATCGATCCATTAATCTTTGAAATATCTCGGTAGAGTATCACTTCAATTAGTATCTATTCCGTGAGTCATACACTAAACAATTATGAGGATAAATATAAAAAATTTGTTATTTCCATTCACAAGGATCGCATTCCGTTTGACCTAATCATAAAGTCGTATATATCTTTGTAAATGTCAAATCGCTTTAGTAGTGAGAATTGAGAGACATGTTAGATGTGAGCCAGAATATATTTTTCTGGCATATTCGTCTTACTATTAATGTAAATGACAGAATAATGGTACAAAACTTACCAGCACATACGTTGTTTTGACATAGATTACTCATACAATCATAGCATGTCTTACAACGCAATAAGTCTTGACATCTTGGACACTCGAGACCTCCACAATCAATATCAGACTCATCTTGATTTCTCATTCGATCCACACAATGAAAAGCTGCAAAAAACAAAACAACTGACTGATGAAAGTCGAAAGAAATCTAAACAAAACAAACATTCATCATTCGTAGGAGGAGATTCTTCCGAACTTGATGAATCAACCGTGATAACTATTCGAGTTTGAACACAAGTTAGATAGTAAGAATAAAAGATCAGCGTCCAAAGTAATAAGTTAAATCTATGACAAACATATAAAAACTCTCGTTGTAGATTCAAAAGTCCTTACCCGATCATGATGATGAATATTCGAATTTAAAATTCACTTTTATATCAAATCCAATTGAAAACTGATTAAATCTGAAGAGACAATTAAGAATTGATGAAGATAAATTTGCTTTCAGGTCAAATTCTAGTAAAACAATGCTCATTTTGCGAATTAAAGACGGAGACCTTATCGGTAAAGATTTATTATTCAAACTCTTTCATCGAACATGTGTAATTACATCTAATTTTTCTATCAAAAATCTTATTCTCTATAACCGAAGCACTTGAAATGAAGTGTGATTACCGTTTTCATCTTTGTTATTTCTCCACTCTTAGATCTTTTCTCTCATTTTATATCGACGATCGTTATATTTAGAGAATCGTAAGTAGACAAAAAACAGCGCTGAATATGAACAAACAAAGGATGAGTAAAAAAAATCAAAGACAGGAATTCTTAGTTTTGATCATATTTCGAATCGAAATTTGCTTGTAAGCAAACATTGCGTCGAACGCACACACATTTCAAGTTTGCTCCATATTTATGAAGATGAAAGCAACCGTAGAAATAACTGACGTAAAGAAAATAAATATGAAGATTTTTTTCGGCGACTGGTTCGAGATGTTTTATTCGGGGAGAAAGAATCGAAAACGGTGCAATTTGAATTTTATTTTCGTCCGAAATATTTATTCGGCGAACAATTCAGATTATTCATGTTGATAACCTAAACTTGTACGAATTCGCAAAAGTTTAAGGCGAGTGTTGCCTTTCGTCTTGCTTTAAAATCGTGTGCACGAGATGTGGCAGAGAAAGTGGGTGAAAATGTTTTTCTAAAAAAGAAATCCTTCAATAACTTTTGAAATATAAGCAGTGCATACTGTGATTAGATGTGAAAGTTAAAGACGAAACAAGTTGTTTTCTTCGTCGTCGATGTAAATTTTGTAGATCGAATACAAGAATATGTTCAATATCGAGAGATCATTTAATGAAATTGTTCTTCTAGATTAAATCACAATAGAAAAACATCGTTGAAATAATGTTGTTCAGGTAAGAAGTTTTCATTTGAATGTGGCCATGTTCTATATCTTTTCTCTTGTTGATAGTTCGGCACCATTGATCTTGTTGGTGTTTTATTCATTTTCCTATTTCGTCGTGATTAACGGTAGAATCACAATAACGATTGATTCTTCGAGTTCAGAAGAAGGACATAAACCGAGACAAAAGGGTATGTTTGAGACTGTGATTTATATTTTGAGGTGATACTATATTCTATAGAACCATGTTGCACCGATCGAATGAAAAATCAAGATGAATCTGACATTGATTGTGGAGGTCACAATTGTCCAAAATGTCAAGATATGAAGAACTGTAATTATCCTAATGACTGTCTCAGTGGTGTTTGTATCAACAATACATGCATTCGTACGTGCTTTCGTCTTCTTTTTTCGTACATCATCAATTTGTGTTATTTCAGCATCGCCTTCGTGTCGAGATCAAATTCGGAACCAGGGCGAGACTGATATCGATTGTGGTGGTCGTGTTTGTCATAAGTGTCAGGATATGAAGACTTGTAATGTTTCATGTGATTGTCTCAGCGATGTTTGTATTAACAATACATGTATTCGTATGTATTACTCACTTTCAACTTGATGACCATATAGAACAAAACGTCTCTCTTTAGCATCACCTTCATGCTTGGATCAAATTCAAAATCAAGATGAGACGGATATTGATTGCGGAGGACGCACATGTCCAAAATGTCCTGATATGGAGAAGTGTACTTATCCCCAAGACTGCCTTAGTGATATTTGTATTAACAACATATGTATTTGTGAGTGTCAATAATCGTCTTTGTTCGATACATAAGAAATGTTGTACTTTCAGCATCACCATCGTGCTGGGATCGAATTCAAAATCAAGACGAGACGGATATTGATTGTGGAGGAAGTATCTGTCCAAAATGTTACGATACACAGCATTGCGATGTTCCTAGTGACTGTCTCAGCGGTGTTTGTATTGGCAACACATGTATTCGTAAGTATTCAACTCTTGTTGATTTTAGATTAATAAGAAGTTAGTGTCGTTTCAGCATCACCTTCCTGTCAAGATCAAATAATGAACCAAGATGAGACTGATGTTGATTGTGGTGGTTCGATTTGTCCGAAATGCGGCAATGGTAAAGCTTGCAATACCAGTGTGGACTGTTTAAGTGATCAATGTCGAGTTAAATTCTGTCAGAGTGCGTTCTTTATTCTTTCTCGAACTAATTTTCAGAGTTTTTTTTAATCTTTTTTTCCTCAGCGTGTTCATTTGTTAGCTTCGATAATGGTGATTTTGAATCTGGAACTACTTCTGGTTGGACTATTGGTGGTGGTATACGAACATCAGTCTCCTCATCTGAAATGTTGCCCGAATACTTTTTACCAGGTGGAAAACTTTTTAACTCCACCATCACATTATCACATTCATCAATTGTCACTAATGGAAGTGATCCAACTCTCGGTAATTTAATGCCAGGTATCGTTGAAGGTGGTCAATACTCGTTTCGTGTCGAGGATTTGGTCAAAGGAGGTTATGCATCAGTGATTAGTCGACAAGTCAACAATTATTATTGTTTGGATATTTATTTTTCATGGTTGGCTGTTTTACAAAATGGAAATCATTCATCGAATCAATCAAGTTTAATTATTGTTCAATTAAATGATTTGACTACAAATGAAAATTTAATTTTACGTCGTTATGATGCTGGAGCAACAGGAAGTGGTGTTGATAGTCGCTTTCAACAGAAAGATGATTATTTTTATACACCTGCTTGGCAATCAGAACACTTAGCCATTGATAATACTCGTTTCGGCCATAATTTCCAATTAACAGTTCTGGCAGCAGATTGTCAACCAACTGGTCATGTCGGTTATCTTTATCTCGACAGTTTCAGTGGTCTTTCACCGTAACAATTCAGTTTCGATTTCGTCGACTAAACCTAATATGACAATGAATTTTTCTACTTATTTACTCCTTGTGTGTCTCTTTCATTCTATACCATTGTTCGCGCGTTTTTAATTAATTAATAAACTTAAATATCCGAATTGTTTCAATTAAAATGAGGTAACCTGTATTTAACAACTTCTAGTCATGATAATCTGGTTGTGGATTACAAGTTATCCGAATAAGGATCCGTTCTTATATTACCAATCATTTTATAGGCTGCATGATTCTTTCGGGAACAAAAACTTAATTTAAATAAGAAAAAAGTCGGGTGCAATTGTAAACCTGTTATTTTGAAATGAAAAGTTCGATCTAAGAAAAATTATGATATTACATTCAAATATGCGCATCGTTCTCATTTGTGTTTTTTCTCTGAATCATGCAGATGTTTTAGGATTGTCATGAAGGTGGTATTATTATGAAATATATTTCAACAACAGAATAGATGTCAGCAAAAGTCATAAGGAAGATAATTTTTTTCAATATTGAATTGAACGAGGGCAGGTCTTGAACTGCGTCGATAAATCACAAAATTATTAATTAATGATTCACATGTTTTAAAACTCCTCGGTATATCCTTCGTTTTCCTTGTCAGTAACAAACATACAATGTTATGAATTCAATCGTATCTTGATAATGGAGTGTATACATGAAGTTGCCAACTCCTTCGAGCTTCGCTTCGTTTATTCTTGTTAAGGAAAGAGAAAGAAGTGTTATATTCAACTGTTATACTGCTGCTTTTCCATCTTTGCTTGTTAATTGAAGAATTTCCGTTACTTCGAAACCAATATTTTTTAGTGTTTCAGTTATTCGATCATCTGGTATTTCTAGATAGACGCTTCTTATGAAAGCGACCCTTCCTATCACATTATCTACTTAGTTCAATGAAGAAACATATTGCTGAACGATTTCACACTTGTTGTGTCTTGGTTAGTTGCCAACGCTTTGATTAATGTCATCCACTTTTCTTCTTGAAGTCAAAGCGATAATAACCAATTAATCAGGAATATTCGAGCAATGTCTAGATGCACATCATGACGACTAGGGGGATAAGAAGCGAAGTTTTGAACATTAAATTGGTGTTTAGAGCGTATCTGCTGTGGCGCCTCTCTTATTGTGGTTGTTATTTTTAGATTTGGTTTCAATCACCTTGTAGAAATTGTTTCGCTTCAACTCTTCGTCTCATGTTTCACATTGTTGAGAAAGAACGCTATCTGCAAAACAACTGTTTCTTTTATTTCTTATGTCATGCAATCATAATAAAGGAATTTATCTTCTGTCTTGAAAATAAAATATAGATCATCTTACAAAAAGGGCTGATGTTCTAAAATTAGAGAGCTAATAGAATGAATACTAATGAGTACCATTCACTGTTGTCATGTAATCAATTGATATGATCTCTGATTCCCGTCGTATTTTGTTTCACCTCTTATTTAACTATCAGACGCCTATAAATATACCATCTACCGTTCAATGCAGTAATCGACTGTTGATTCAATGGACAAGATAGCTCATCATCAATCTTCTGGTGCCATGTCAAGTATATTGCCACTTATCTTCTTAATTGTAACACTGATATTTGAGTCTATTTTCTCTCGATTGAGTGTCTATTTCGTGCTTCATTTATTTGATATACTCTTTTGCTACGTGTAACGTCACCGTATGAATTCTTTTTAGAAAAAATTGAATTTAGACATCAAATTTCGCGTGTTATTTGTAGATAGAATAAAAAACAAGAGTGAAAAGAATAAATTATGACTACGTCTGCACAGCCGGAAGAGTATCAGATGATACTGCTAATCATTTTCCATTGCTACTTGACTCAACAATGGAAAAAACAAAGCTACTTCACGCTGGTGGCTTTATAATGTTCAAGAAACTGGCTGCCTGTTCATTGGCTCTAGGTATTCTAGTTGCAGGCAGTGCCCTATTCGTTGTTCAACACTTACCTACTCAAAGCACAAAGCTAGCTGTTGACACATACACAGGTAGTAATATATCATCACGAATGGAAAGATGTTAAAACTCAGCTTCACATTCTCTATCTTATGAACAAAATTCGAGACGGACTATCATTATGAGAAATGCGGTCTATTGCCAGTAGGGAGCAAAACAATCAACTTCATTAAATTTTTATCCGATGACTTCTGACGAACAAGTCAATTACAGTTCGCGATTAAGCAGCGAAAAAAAACGATGAGATAATATGTTTCATAGATGTTTCCTCAAGTTGGATTGTATGACGTTCTTCTCTCGCGAATCGGTATGAAAAGATGGTTTTTCTTTGTAGAAAAGAATGAACTTTCGCCAAACTCTCCTCCTCAAAATTCGTTTCCTAAATAATCATCTGTTGTTCAAGATCAAGCGATGAACATACCAGCTACCTACCCAATATATGAATTATAAAAATTGATCGCGGGACAAACGGAAATAAAGTTTTGTCCAGTCCCGTCGGTCTCTGATTGCAAGTCACTACCTGATGCTAAAGATGTTCCAATGGGTGAGAAAAGACGTCGTGGAAGGCCATCAAAAGCCAAAAAAGCATTATCAGTTCAATAATTTTCTATTACTTGAAATGATGTTATTTTACGGAAATAAATAGACTAAAATACAGTGCAGATAACATTTTTTAACTGAGCAAGAGGTACTGAGAAGTTTATGAAAAAAACTACTGAGCATTGGGTATAAACTACTGAACAATTAAATACAAGCCGAATATTTTTAAGGACAAATACAAGAGTATGTCATTGAAACACGAATAACAATAGAAGAGAAAGAAATGAAGTCTATCAATTATTAATTCAATGAATAGCACGGTAGCGATTAAAACGAATAAGCTATTCAATTGTGAGATGTTTCAACACGCGTATTTTTAGATCTTTTTCAGAGTAATCATTGAAGCGCGAGCAAACGCTTTTGCTCGATTTATATTTCTAAGGAAAAGAATTCTTAAAACGAGATTATGGTAGAGAAATTAGTTTCAATTGAATCGTTTTCAAAACGATGCATTATTATGTGAATATAACTCAACTAGACATCGTATAGGCTGAGATGGCCATGGGTTTTTTCGAAGGAATTCCACTAATGGATAATGAAAAGTTTGATCTTTGAATGCGAGTAGATTTCTCATGTTTTTTTTTCATATATTTTGAGTATGTATTGTTCTTCAAGGACACATCTACACTTAAAATATCCAAAAAAAAAAGAGTAGAAAAGACTGTCTCTTAAAACAGGGTGTAGGCAAAAACTGATTATATATACAAGACACTGATTATTTATTGATGACATCTTTCAGTTTCAAACAAGAACAAGAAGCGAGTTTGTTCTTAGTAGATTCAACGTTGATGATGAATATTCTATTGAAAATGGATAAATTTATTTCATGTTACTGTAGGGTGAATAGAATTCACCGGCAACAATCTCCATTTCTTTATGATATCCATAACTGGTTGGCTCGATACGAAAATAATCACCATTGTCAATGGTTGAGATATATCAAGTACTAAAATTGCAATACGTAAATGATATTTTGGTGGTTTTGTAAAGAAAGACATCAAATTGAAGACTGTATATGGTATACTCAAAATAAGTAGAATGACAACTATGATGACGATTCGACAAACAACGATGAAATGACGACGAATTTGAAATAAAGTTTTAGCCGATGTTGCACGAGTACTTATTTTATGCATATGATGAACAAGTTTCATATAGATAGTGATTATCATTGACATCGGGATCACATAAAGCACTAACATGTTGTATACAATAGGCACTGATAAACGTAATGGGACTAAACATATTTGATCGACAACACTGTATGTGATGTCACCAGTTAAAAGCCAAGGAAACATTGTTAAGAAACAATATAACCACTTAACAGATATGGTGATGAGTTGAACCCGAGCTGATTGCCAAGAGAGACGAGTTGGATGAACAATGACAATATATCGATAAATTGTTTGTAAAGCACACGAATAAAAAAACAAACCACACCCTACGTAGCCCAAATAACCACGTAATATACAAAGTGAATCTTGATAAGCGCTCTGTTGTCGATCATTTTCGAATGAAAACACCGCTATATATGCCATCGTAGATCCAAAAAGAATCTGTGCAAGACATGAATTACTGCTAAACATCATCGATACTGTTCGACATGTTCGATACATCAAAACCATAATTGTAAAAACAATAGCAAGCAGACTCGCTGAAACCGTTGATATGATCATTAATACATCTATCAAAATCAACCACCATTCAACGTTGGTTGTCATTACGGTTGTGTTATTCGTTGGCATTGTTCTCGTTAAAGTATAGGAGATGTTACTGATGTCTGCGATGTACTTTCTTGTGCTGCACATGAATAATAATGCTTAGAAAATAAAATTCTCTCAGTCACAAGTTGGCATTTCTTTACACTGAGTTGAGTTCTGATGCGACACGAAGAGCAGCATCCTTTTACTCTTGAGCACGACTTCTCTTTCTTTCATTTTAATGTCTTCCAATCCGGGTTTTTTCTTTTAATATGCGACATATCCCTATAGAAAATATCCGAAAAATGGGTGTCGTACGCATTCTTTTACATCTGTTTTGAAATCGATTCTAAATTATGCGATCACAATATGATTTAACCATGTAGTTTGACCGTTCCACCAAATTTTTCTTGTTAATCTTGCGAAGAAAGCTATCGGCAACCAACGAATGAACTCACTGCGGTAATTGTCAACTAAATTTAAGCAAAAACACTTGATCTCAACTGTCCCTGGAACAAATCGATAAATATCTGCTTCTAGTTTTCGATCTATCTCTGGATTAAGTATCCATGCATGAAATCTCAATGATACTATTACGAATACCTTAGATTTATTAAATCGATATTGTGTTTGGATGTTTTTCTTTCATTTATTCCTATAATCCGATTCGTCGTATTACGATGTAACTCTTTCACGAACGCAACTTCTCATTATGCCACTTGTAGTATTTGTTCTTAAACTTTTCCATTTATTCCGTCTTGATAAATACACTTGAATTTATTTTTGTTAAGAGTTTAATGTGCTTTTCATTACTGAATGAACACAAAAAAGTGCAATATTTAGTTCGAACAATTAAATGATGAAAGAAAGAAAAAAAGAAAACATTTTTACATGTGTACATTTAGAATAAATGCCATTCGCTTAGACCAGCGAAATTCAATAGAGTTCCGGGTTGACGGATTCGTACGAAAATCCAACCGTTACATCGAAGGAATTCGATAAAAACTGCGTAGAGATGCTGTGCAATCCGTTTGAAGTTGTTAATAATGTCTATGTGTTAGAAGATTTCATTCGAAATTTACGCACATACTTTTGCAAATTCGAGTGTGCATCAGTAGATTTTAACTCATCGTAAAATAATTGTGCTGACCCATACGTTTTACCTGAAATGTTCTTATTGACAATATAGTTTTCACTTATTTTTTGAATTCAAAATACCGTTCTCTAAGGACATTTATTCACCTAATTATATTTGTTTTATGAATTTTTTCTATCACAAGAACAAATCAACAACGCAAAACCAAACAAAAGAAAATGTGTTTTTGGTCTCTTAGAGAATCCATAGGCGAATGAACGTTTTGAATCGTTTGTCTCTACTGATCACACATGATAAACGAGTTTCTAACCATTGAATCAACTCATCATTGCCGGATGATGTTGCCGTTCGATGTCCCCATTGATCATCTTCACAGAACACTTTCAATGTGCGAAGATTCGGTAAACCATGAACAAGATCAAGTATGCTTGTTCGCTTTTGTACATTCAATGAAAGAAATTCACAATGAATACCTAATGGCGAATGGATTAAATCGTAGCACTTGTTCGTAGTAAAATAAGTTGTTGTTTTATTAATTGAACAACATGCATTTTGAAATTGAAGTGATCGAATCGAATGACTGAAGAGATGTAGTGGAATCTCTTGAACGATCAATGGAAACCAGGCTAATACCTCGAATGAATAGAGATGAGGAGCACGATCGATCAATTTCTGTAATTGATAAACAGCCATATTACCATCAATTAATGGAAAACATCCGATTTGTAGAGTGACCAATTGATCAAATTGGGGTAAATTGGTNAGAAACGACATAATACACGTTTTTTTCTTTATCAAGACGGGAAAACGTTGAATGTTGAAGCAGGAACAGTAATTGATCAAGGAATAACTCATCCATCACAATTTGATTTTTATCTTTGTTCCCAAGCAGCGATGTAAGAAGTTTCATTTGAACAAATTCGAATAAAAGAATTCCTTTTTTAGAATGGGTACATCTCGACCAACACTTTATCATGTTCTTCACGATGATATTGGATTCAATAGTGATGATTTACAACAATTAACATATTGGTTATGTCACACAGACATGCGTTGTACGAAATCAGTTTCCATTCCAGCACCTGTTCATTATGCGCATCTGGCAGCATATGGGTCACGTTCGTTGAAATTTGAAGATGATCGAGACTCAGAAGGGTGAGTAGGAATTTTGAAAAGATCTTTTTCGTATTGAAATCTTTAGTTCGATGATTGATGGTGGTGATGACGATGAACCTCAGACATATTCACTTGACGATATTCGAACACAATTGATGATTCTTGATCCGAAAGTGGCTGATGATATGTGGTTTATCTAAATGATCTTCGAGAAGAATTAAAGAAAGTATCCAAACTAAATTATTATCGTGAACAACTCTTACAAAGTATTACTGGTTCGTCTCTTGAAGGTGTGAACTGTACATGAAATGTTGAGATGAAAACGATTGATTTCAATGAGTTTATAAATATAAATTTTATCCATTATTTTCCTTAAAATTTAAAAGAAAGAACAATTCCTTAGGAGAAGTTTATGTCAGATTTGACTGGTTTGCTATATCGCAACTTTTTCGAGTGAATTTATTATTCTCCACTAGAACAAAACGTACATAACCAACACATACCAAATAGAAAATCAATACATCCGGCAATGATTGTCATATGCACATATGCACACCTAGTCCATCTTCGATCAGATGTACAACTTTGTTGACGAATAGTGATGAAAAAGCCAATACATATCAGACCAGATATAATAAAACAAATCGCATTGAACATACCACAGCATGATTTCTTCGTAGGTTCTGCTGTTTCAGTTTTTATGTATTCAGTATTAACACGTATTAGCCGAGCCTTAAGTTGCTCTTCAGCAGTAGTTGATGCAATATATTGCTCATAAGCTGTCTGAGGTATTCGAATAGCAGTGTGAGTAGAAGATTGGATTTCATGAGGATTGATCGCTGAAGTTGAAGAATTATGTTGAGTCATTGCTTGTATCTTATTGTTACTCTTTGTAATATGAAAATGCTTATTTTTTCACATTGTTTTAAATACCTTATCCTCTATTGATTCAATGTAACATGAAATGGCATTTGACTCAGAACATAGTTTGTTGTTTGTATGTCAGAGATGAGACATATTCTATCATAAAAAACACGAATCGATTGAAGATCTAATGTCATTTTGAGATAGTTATAATCACTTCCCTGCTTTTTTAAAGAATGATAAAATATAGTTATAAATAGATTCAAATGAAGAGTATGATGCAATGTTGGCTAAGGCTTTCAAAGAAACTATCGATGACAGAATTTGGAAGTACATGATTTACACTTCTGAAAATCAAATAAATTGAAAAGTTTCATCGTATAACGGTGAGAGAATGAAGCTGATATTCATCTGCAACTGTTGTTTCAATTATTTCTTTCCTGCTTCCAACGTTTTACTTCAGCTTTAATATGATTAGAGACTTTCATTCTTACCCATAGCCAAATCAATACAATTAATATTTGAAAAAAGTAATTGTGAACTTATTGAATTTTGATGAAATCATCGAACGATTCGTCTATTTCGAGCATCAGATAATTATCAAAAATAATATCTGTTGGACTAATTTACTATTCCTTAATACTATTGACCAACGACAAAGTTACATTCGATTGCATTAGATCTTTCATTTATAGCAATATAAATTACTTCTTTTTATGTGCTTGTAGTCATATATGATATATATTTATTACTCACATGTTTTGATGATGTTGAACTGATGTGTTCACCAGTATTCAGATCGATCATAAATGTATTTTTACTTTTTTTAAAATATATTTCATGAATTAATTGTTCATTTGATGTTATAAATATTGATCTTCTCTCATAGTAGTCATTATTTTCCTTGTCTCTTTTTACAAATAGTGATGATAATATTTATGTATGTGAGAATAAGAAATATATTATTATAGTAAATGACTCATTTCACCTATGAATATAAATGTTGAATTTCAACTATAGATGGCGCAAATGATTGAATAATATTTCTATGCATGCTTTTCAGTTCTCAATAGGCTATCAGTGTTTGCAATGGCAAGTGTACACAGCAAGAACAAAATGTACAGAACATCTGCTATATCTTATGTACACGCTACTTTACACTTTGCCAAAAAAAACAGAATGTACACCGTACATTTTGAAAAAGAATTTTACACTTTGATTTATTATGAGTTATGACATTTTCTAAGATACTATGGTATATTAAAATTGAACTTACATCTTCGTATAGCACCAAGCTGTGACCTCTTTCGAATGATCTTGTTACTGGTTTCATATAGCTAAAGCTTTTTTGTTGTAATCTCTCTCTTTCAATCAAATTTATTAATTTTCTCTGAAGCTCTGTAGTTCAAATGATTAAGTCAATCTTTTAATGATCCAAAGAGAAATATTTTTCTGATTTGTTTTTAGATCTTTGTTTGATGAATCAAAACCAACCAAAGTTATATGAACTGTGGAGGAAAAATGCGGCTTCATCTGATCGTGACTATGAACATATTCCAGTTGTATTTGATAGTCATATCAATGTTTCAACTTCAAACATCTCTTCAACATCAGCAACAACAATTACAACTGTTCCAGTTCCATTAACACCAACGTCATTATCATCGTTAAGTACTTCATCTCCGAAACAAGTATATTCATCATCATCAAAAATATCATGTTCATCGACAATGCCTGTGCCATCATCATTCTCAACGGTCTCATCTTTACCAATTGTAATTTTATCTTTACCATCATCTACATTACCACGACCTATATCCGGATCTTCAGCATCAACAATCTCATGTTCGCATAACAAAACTTCTTCATTATCATCATCTATTGAAGTTGAAGTATCAGTGTCCGTAACTAACGCCGTCGACAAACATTCAACAGCAAGAATCTCAACACATCGATCCAATCACCGTACTCAATACTTATCTAAATGGGAAACACAACCTGAAGCACAATATCTTACACACGTTCTGAACAATTATGGTGTAATAGAAGAAAAATTCGTTTGCTGGTTGTATTTGGAAAACAATTCAATGTTTTGCCGTTTATGTCAGCGGCATGGAATGAAAATAAATTCGAATAGTAAGTTTTTATGTTTCAAGATAACATTATATCTGTGATATAAGTTTATGTTTATCATAATCGAGACTAATTGATCATGTATACACACTGACCAACAACTTTTCGGTTTACACAATAATTGTTTATTTAGAAAAAGACAATGTTTGGTGCACAACTGGCATGACAACGTTATCATATGACAAAATAGAACATCATAAAAATGAGAGCATTGTACATAAAGAAGCTGACAAGCAAGAGTTACTTCTATCGTCTCAAGCTCAACCAAATTGGCATATAACATAACAAAAACAATTGACAAAACACGAAAAAGCTATACAAAATCTCATGGCATCAAGTATATATTTATGTCAAGAAGACAACTCACTAAATAGTATTGAATCATTATGTGTCTTATTGGAGAAGTTAGATGTACCTTTACTACCCGCTGAAGTTGCTAGAGTAAATTATCGTAATGGCAAAGCTGCATTGTGTTTTATTCAGCACATTGCAAACTATTTTCATGAAGAATTAGTTCAAAAAGTAAAAGCAAGTCTAGTTTGTGGTACGATAATAAGTATATACATCTGTACATAATCAAAGTTCTTTTCTTCTCTTTCTAGGTTGGATGATGGATGAGTCGACCTCACGGTCGACTGAAAAATCGTGCATTATTTATGTGCGATATGTTGAAAACAACGAAGCCAAAACATCCTATTATGGTTTATTAGATCTACAAGGTGATGGTACAGCTAAAAATATTGTGAAGAATTTATCAGAGTTGTGGTCAAAAGATGGTTTGAAACCACAGAATTCCTGCTGGTTAGCAACAGATAATGCGCCAACGTTCACCGGTAAGTTTTTTAATCTTTTACTGCATGGTCCTTGGAACACTGTCAGGATTATTTCAGGTAAACATGAAAGTGTAATCGCTAAATTAAGGAGTTATCTAGCTACTGACTTTTTGGAATTAAACACATGTGTCGCTCATTCTTTTGCACTTGTTGGTTCTCAATCAGCATATATTCCTAAAATACAAAGTACATGTTGTTTTTTTCCACTACATGTTGTGCAATTTATTTTTTTTATTTATCATAGATGGCAAACAAATATTTATACAAACTGACGCTGTGATGAAGCTGGAATCAACAATCAGTAGTATTTACGATTATTTTAAGCACAGTTCCAGTCGACAGTATAATCTTAAGTCTTGGCAAAATTTTATGGACAGCCCCGAACTTAAATTCAAAAAACTGTTTGATATTCGATGGTCTTCGATTCGCGATTGTATCAAGCCAATATTTGCTAATATTGAACCAGGTTTTTATACATCAAAGTAATTCCATTTAGGATGTCAATCATTACTTGGATTGTTGAAAGAAACAGTACTTGATCTTCAAATTTCGAAAAGAAATCGAGAACAAGCGAAAGAATTATTTGATTCAATATTAGATGACGAATTTCTTTTTTCACTTCATATGCATTATGATCTTCATGAATGTATTCTTGGTAAGAATATATCTTTTTTTGAATGTTCTCGAAAAACAGCTTTCGCCAATCTGCACAATTTTTTTATCCTAGGCCCAATTACAAAGTGCACGCAAAGTGACCATCTTTCATATTTAAATTTAATGGAAATAATACAAGAGAAAAGAACCATTTTAGAAGGTTGGACATTTCAATCTCTGTCAGATGTTGGACCTGCACTGTCAGACTATATTGAATCAACAAAAAATGGAATATTCGGTGCATTCGATATCAGTTTGGGTGATCGTCAGAAGTTTTTACACAATTCTCATCAACATATTCATCGTCTACTTCAAGAAATAGCTAAACGATTTCCTCCATCAGTTGTTCAAGAAAACTTGTCGGTCTTATTTGATCCTCAACACTTATTTAAACACAAGAACAAAATTAATATAAATGAATATGGTCGATCAGCACTTAGCTTTTTACGAAAAAAATATAAAAATGTTGTTGGCTTTGATCATTCATCTGTTGGAAATGAATGGGAATCACTTAAAGTTTCCATTTACGATTACGTGAATAATCTTCCAAATAATACTCCAGTGAATGAATTTTGGAAAAACTTTATTTTATTAAATATATTTCTTATATCACCAACAAACTCGGCTGAGTGCGAAAAGGGAGTATGTTCAGTAGCTTATTTTGAAATTTTACATCGTTTTATCTTGATATATAATTTTTATAGTATTCGGCAACGAATAGAATCCAAACCTTTGGGAGATGTCGTCTCAAAATTCTCACATTAGATGTATTGATGAATGTACGTATGCTGCTCAAAGATGATCTACGAAGGTGAGATGAAAACGATCACTTTTTTTCTTTTGAAAATCGGAAACATCTTATTCAGTCATAGATGCCAAGAGGTTATTGATAAATCATTTGAATCTTGGAACAACATTGACTATCATCGTCGTTGTCATCAAATACAACTTTTATTAGATACACCCGATGATTATGAACCAGCTAAGCAAATTTGATCAACTGCAAAACGAAGTATTTCAATTGTTCAGTTGAAAATGATGCATAAGAAATCAAGAAAACCGAAGGCCAAGTCAATAAAATGTAAATCATGGCTTTTGGATTTTCATACAGACTATTGAATCTTTTTCAGGCGCTAATGGATGCAAAACTGAGGTGTCAGCCGATGATCCAGTTCAAGCCGAAGCTATTCAATGTTGCCATCAAGATGAACAATTTGATTGGGTTGAACCTGTTGATAATTGTTCACGTTGGCTCTGCAACAATTGTAGAATTAAGCTCAGTATAAATGTGAAATCTTTATGGTTCTGCTGTGATCATGAAGAAATGCACCTCGATGAAGATGAAAGTGAAGAATTATGAGTGTTTTGATGATTGAAAATCAATATCATAGTAGATGCACTTGTTTTTTTTATATAATAGTATACAATATTGTAAATTTATTAGTTGATGACACAGTTTATGAATGTACCATTCAGGCGTTACTACATGTTATTTTTAATGAATGAAATTGAAAACTATGAACTTTATTTGTCTTTTTAGATAAGAAAAAAAATGAATTATTTTGTACATTTTGGTACACTTTGTTCTAGATTTCCCTTGCAAACCTTGGTGTAAACATCCATTACGTCCTCTGTTCATCGCACGTTCAATAGAATTTATCTTTGTTTTTTTATTGTTTATCATGGGATTAATCAATTGTGAAATCGAACTTAATACTAAACAATACACTGACGGAATGTCATTTCCACAAAATCTCGAGCAATTTTATATGGATCCAAAGAAGATTGGAAACGTATATGTAGTGGTATTTAAACATGATTTTTTACATCGAAAATTGGCCCATCATGCCTTAATCGTTGATGTTGCTGGTAGCTCAACAGATTCACATACATGTGGAGCAACAATCCATTTAACGGCAAAAGCTTCAACAAAAATTACTGAATTTCATATCCATGATCGATCATTTCGCAGAGAAGACTTTCATGAAATTATTTACATTGGACGTCTACATCCACCACAATACTCACCTTGGTTCTGGGCATACGATATTCAGCGAGAGGTAAAAATGCATTTCTTGGATTCGATTTATTCAAATAAACGAAATGTCTTATTCAATTCTAGGGATTACAATTATTTCTAGGATTGACAAATCAAAGAAAAAATGTGATCTGGTCTGCAGAAATTAATTGCCAAACATATGTGGCTTACTGATTGCAACGGCACGGATTTCATTGGCCACCTCAACTTTCTTATCTAACTGAAGATCATACACCAGTCATTATCGATGTGGCCATCGAAATAATTCATCTCAGTGCTGCAGCCAGTGTGAAACTAATTCCTGAACAAAGTGAAGAGCAAAAAATAATCTTGAGAAACATTCGAATTAGTGTATTTCTGGTAAAAAATGCTACTTTGATTGTATTTGAACTTTTCCATTGATCTTTGATAAAAATAAAAAACATGTTCTGATCAATACATTTTTCAATCAAAAAAGTCAATGCCTTTTCAATCGATTCGAAGAAGAAATAAGAATATTGTCTAACGATAATTCGATTAGATAAATGCCAATTTAAATTTGAAATGATCATCCTTTAAAAGTTCGATTTTTCTTCGAGCAAACACCTTAATCTGCACCAACGAAAAATTATGTCAAACTAATTTTTTAATCTTCTGTTTTTTTCTACGTACGAATTTCCTTTTTCTTTCTCAAAAATGACTTCATGTGTTATGATTCATGTTGATCTTACTGTTGAATTTTGTATAAAGTTGAATCGATTTGATACATGTCATCGATCTATGTCGTCTGATAAAACTAATTCTTGTCTTCATGATTGCTAATAGACTTCAGAAGAAGAAAAATGATTGCACTGAAAAAAAGAAAACACAAATAACTTCTGATGAAATCGTCGAAAATAGATCTATTCTCTTTTGATTTTGTTGGAATTTGCATTGAAATGAAATTTTGTATGCATCATTTTCATGAGCAAATAGACATATTTCTCTGGAGAAATATCCCAACACAATCATAAAGCTTTCTTAGGTGCACATTGACTCTAAAAGAAGTCTAATCAAGAATTTAATTGGAAATATTTATCAAACAATCAAATTGATTCAAAGATTAAAACAGGAACAGCACCACCATTGAGGGAACAAATGGAACAGAGCTCGGAAAATTGCGGAAAAAGAGCTTGATTTTTTTTACATATGTGTGTATTTGAGTGTATACGATGGATAACATGGATTCATTTATGTTACTGGTACGAAGGAGCTGCTCCATTTAATCCTTCTACTAACAACGGATTAGAAGTCTGAACGGTCGCATAAAGCAACATTATACTATGCGCAATAAATTACCACTTGCTCCAGAGGTAGGACAAGTACACGTACACAAAGTACACGTACAAGTACTTGTACGTGCATGGATATACCTGTACTTGTACTTGTACTTCTAGTAGAGTACTTTATACCTGTATTTCAACCTCCGAAGTGATACAAAAATGGACCAATGGGATTACAGGATTCATTTGCCCATTTTCTTCGCTATTCTCAAAGAGAAGCCCTTGGTTACCTGTACCAATGTTGGGGTAATCGAGTGTGGTCTATCATTCTAATATAGGTAACCATGGGTTTTCCCTTGAAAACAGGCGAGAAACCACTGTCTGTGCTCGAATTGGTCGATTTCGGCCAATCAGCGATGACCGCGATTTTTTTCCAAAGCTTATTTTCGCTGGAAATCGACTAGGGAGGCATTATGTAAGGACGTTTTTTTGACCTCCAGAGATCTGCATTGGTTGTTTATTTCCTTTCAAGGAGGCAGTGTTTTACTCCGGTTGCGCGATATTTACCATGGACCTTTGAGTTTTCGTTCATGAATCTATAGATGCGGAATCAGAATGGATCTACAATTGCGTCTGAAGTAATAGAAGATGTTTCTTATACGTTAATCACTTAATTAAGTGGAAGTTAACGGGTTGCCGTTGACGGTAATTTCAAATTAACGGAAATGGTCCACCCCTAGTATAAAGTACTCTACTAGAAGTACAAGTATTTTCTGGCAAGTACAAGTATCTCTACGTTGTACTTGAAAAGCACAAAAAGTACAAGTACATGTACTTGCGTCCTACCTCTGGTTCGAGTCCTACTTTGATTTCATGATCTTCTTTAACAAAATGTTCGTATTTGTTAAAATATATCTCTGTGGTTTCCTTCGAATAACTTGACAGCGATACAATCGTGAACAGATGGAAAGATTTCTAATTATCGATTCTTTTATACCTGTTTTCAAACACACCGTCACCCACACGCTCAAAATTCTGAAATTTAGAAAAGACTCTGGAGGATTAATTGATTTTGAACCTTTCAGATCTTGTTTGAATTTTTGAATTTTGTCATGCAGATTTATCTTTACCACCTGATGAACGATTCAATAAATAAGAATCGAAATCCGGATTGTGATAGTTTTGTTCTTAACTCGCACCTTTTAATTTATGGATTAGAATTTCATTTATGCATCGTCATGTAAACCACCTGATGAGTCTGTGAAATTCAGACGAAATCCGGATCGTGGTATACGTTCTTGTATGTCACACCCGTCACACCCACCCCACCCCCACCTTCGCCCACCATGGACCACCTTGGCGCGCAGCGGCGCACGCTATGTGACACAAATAAACAAACAAACTATTTTATTTCATATGACCCTCCTTACAGTCGAGGGAATTATGGAGATACAACAAAACATTATAACGCGTTTCTTGATTTTACTTTCTTCAATAAGCATTTTTTATCAATACTTAAATTCTAATTTGATCTGAAAAGACGATTAACACAGAAATAGATCATCTCCTGAAACTTGGATATTTTTTCAATATGATCAGATGATGATGATCACAAAAATCGAACGAGACGTTAATAGAAATCGGCGTAGTACTCGACATCAGATATGTTAAATGCTCACAAATGAGCTGTAATTAATTTGATTCTAACAGATTCGTTCAACATCTTGCGGTTCATCGTCATGAATATATATCTATAACCATAACTGACAGTTGAAAAAAGAAGGATTAATAATTTCTATTGATATTTGACAATTAATCTATAAATTATAATATTTTAATAGACAGTTTGCGGTATTATTAATATAAATTAACACAAATTATATTTCTGTTGTCGTATTTAGCTTCTAGGCACGATCTACTCATTAGAGTTTCATCTAATAAAAATCGTAATATTTTCTCTCGAATAAAAGAATAGAGGAGCGAGCGATAAAAAGAAAAAAACAAAAATGTGCACTGTTTGTTCTATTTTTAATGTATTTATTTTATGCTTTTGCAAAGACTCATCAAAGATATAAAGATTTCACACTCACATAATGTATCTTCATTGTGTCTCAAAATGAAATTGAAAGTGATTTTTGTATATCAAATATACTTCATTCCGTATTTATCATCAGTACTATTTCTAGATTTTAATCCTAAAGTTTTTTTTCCAACATTCCATTCTCAAACAACAACGCCATTCTAGATAAGACATTCATTTTTCGCCGACTATTTCTATATGTGTCCACTGTGAGAGTATCAAAATAAATGAATTTGTTTGGTGAGATGTTGTTATCACGACTATTTGCTTAAGCATATAAAAATCAGTAAAAAGAAAAAAACTTTTCACACACGAAAAAAAGCACATAGAAAGAGAATAAAAACACATAACTACGGAACTTCCATCGGTCACTATTCTTCGTAACTTTAAAACTAAACGAACAATAGCTAGTAACAAATCAACTGCATCTCAAATAATTAAAAAAACAAGTGAAAATTCAAAAGAAACACGTAGACGTCAACGCATCGATATGCAAAGGATTCAAAATGTCCTGCTGATTTGGTTAGATGCCAGCTTTGATGACAATAATGAAGATTGTCAAAACACAATGAGACATCTTCGACGTGCTGTTAATGATTTAAACACCTATACAGATGGTGAAGAATGCATTCAATTCATCAAAACAATCAAGGATCGCAAGGCATGCATGATCATTTCTGGTTCACTTGGACGGCATATTCTACCTCGAGTGCATCATCTCTCTGAAGTAGATTCGATTTTTATCTTCTGTGGTAACAAACAACGACACGAGCGATGGGCAAAAGATTGGCTAAAGATCAAGGGAGTTTTTACAGAGATCAAATCCATCTGTGAATCTCTCAAACAGGCAGCCCAACAATGTGAACAAAATGCTATTTCCATGAGCTTCGTAGCATCCGGAAAAAAATTGGACCAACTAAATCCGTCTTTTATGTACACTCAGATTTTCAAAGAAATATTATCAACCATCCAATTCGAAGATGCACATATCCAAGATTATGTCAACTATTGTCGAAAAGAATTCGCCGACAACGATCAAGAACTGAAAAATGTGAAACGACTAGAGAGTAAATATCATCAGAAATCGCCTATTTGGTGGTATACTTTTGACTGTTTCTTGTATAAAATGCTCAATCGTGGGATCAGACTGATGGATGGCGACGTTATCGTAAGAATGGGATTTTTCATTAATGATCTACATCAACATATTGCATCTGTGCACAAAGAACAACAGATCAGTGACATCTTCACAACGTATCGTGGACAAGGATTATCAGAAGGCGACTTTGAAGAAATGAAGCAAACAAAAGGTGGACTCATGTCATTTAACAACTTCTTATCCACAAGCAAAGATAGGAATGTATCATTTCAGTTTGCAAATCCAAGTAGTAGGAATCCAGATTTGGTAGCAGTTTTATTTGTGATGACAATCGATCCAAAACAATCAACAACAGCATTTGCTTGGACTCGTGATCTTAGTGCTATTCCAGATGAAGATGAAGTGCTCTTTTCAATGCACAGTGTGTTTCGAATCCAAGATATTCAACAAATCGGTGAAGATAGCAAACTATTCCAAGTGAGTTTGACCTTAACGAGTGACGATGACAAAGAATTACATGCACTGACGGAACAAATACGAGAGGAAAGTTGTCCAGCAGAACAGGGATGGCAGAGACTGGGATTCATACTATTTAAATTGGGTCAATATCAAAAGGTTGCAGAGATCTATGAGACGTTACTCAATCAAGCAACAACGAATAGCAAGAAGGCACTAATTTACCATAGACTTGCTTTGATCAAGCATCGTCAAGGAGAATATGAGGAGGCAATAAGGTTATACGAAAATTCAATTGCCATTTACGAAAAAATTCATTCTCCTCAAGATCCTACGTTAGCTCAATCTTACCACAACATCGGTTCAGTGTATTTGAGCATGGGTGACCATCCAAAAACTCTTTCATATTATGAAAAGAGCCTTGCAATTCATCAACAATCACTTTCTCCAAATCATCCTGATTTGGCTATATCTTACAGTGCCATGGGTGAGATACATAGGAAAATGGGTGACTATCACAAAGCACTATCATATTGCAAAAAAAGCCTTGCAATTCAACAACAATCACTTTCTTCAAATCATCCTAATTTAGCTTCATCGTACGAGAGCATCGGTCTGGTGTATTCCGACATGGGTGACTACTCAAAAGCACTTCCATTTTATGAAAAAGGGCTTGCGATTCTACAACGATCACTTCCTACAAATCATCTTGATCTGAGCATGCCTTACAACAGCATCGGTCTGGTGTATTGCGACATGGGTGATTATCACAAAGCTCTTTCATATTATGACAAAAGCCTTGAAATTCAACAACAATCACTTTCTTCAAATCATCCTGATTTGGCTATACCTTACAACAACATCGGTAATGTGTATTGCATCATGGGTGATTATCACAAAGCTCTTTCATATTATGACAAAAGCCTTGAAATTCGACAACAATCACTTTCTCCAAATCATCCTGATTTAGCTTCATCTTACAACAACATTGGTGTGGTTTATTCCGACATGGGTGACTATCCAAAAGCACTATCATATTGCGAAAAAAGCCTTGCAATTCGACAACAATCAGTTTCTCCAAATCATCCTGATTTAGCTTCATCTTACTACAGCATCGGTGATGTGTGTTTCGCCATGGGTGACTATCCAAAAGCTCTTTCATATTATGAAAAGAGCCTTGCAATTCGACAACAATCGCTTTCTCGAAATCATCCTTCATTAGCTTCATCTTACTGCAGCATCGGTTGGGTGTATTGCAACATGGGTGACTATCCAAAAGCACTATCATATAACGAAAAAGCGCTTACAATTCGACAACAATCACTTTCTCCAAACCATCCTGATTTAGCTCCATCTTATAACAGCATTGGTTGGGTGTATTCCAAAATGGGTGACTATCCAAAAGCATTATCATACTGCGAAAAAGCTCTTACAATTCGACAACAATCACTTTCTCCAAGTCATCCTGCTTTGGCTATGTGTTACAACAACATCGGTTGGGTGTATAGGAGCACGGGAGAGTATCTAAAAGCTCTTTCATATTATGAAAAAGCCCTTACAATTCAACAACAATCACTTCCTATAAATCATCCTGCTCTGGCTATGTGTTACAACAACATCGGTGAGATTTATCGAAACATAGGTAACTTTTTAAACGCAATATCATTTCTTGAAAAAGCCATTGCAATTCAGCACCAATCACTTCCTCCGAATCACCCTCATATAGCTGAATCTTACAACAATATCGGTCTGGTGTATAAGAACATGGGTAACTATTCAAAAGCAGTTTCATATTTTGAACAGGCAGTACAAATCGCGCAACAATCATTACCTCCAGGACACGATGATCTTCAAATGTATAAAGAAAACTTTGATCGCATAAAAAACAAGTTTTAATTCGTAAATATTCTGTTTTTTCTGTATCAAACAGTTGACTGCCGATTAAATAAAATTGCGTGCGACCGGAAGAGTTCTGCTCTCTATTTTAAAACGCAAAAGTCGACAAAATCACGCACCGCAATCGGGAGATCAACACATGTCTGAAATACACATGTATTGTGATAGCAAAGATCTATACTACTCGACTACACTGAAAAAAAAGGTGTTTTACCAAACCAAAAAAGCAATCGGTCGGCGGGCACAATCGCTAAACCTCACATGGTTTGGTCGCAAAAAGGTTTGGTATCGACCCTTTACATGATCGATGATAAAAAAGGTTTCGCACATCAGGTTTCGTACGAAACGATTCCTGGGAAAAATCTAAAGGTTTCGCACGAAACCTTTCCCAAAAATATTTTCAAAAGGTTTTTTTCTGAGGGTTTCCATATGCAATACCTCTGGAGAATTTCCCACCATTGACGCCCTTGGTGAGTGCGTAATCCTTTTCCATGAGAGTCTTTATCTGTCTGATCCTGTCCAGTACGATAAGACGCCAGCATAGTAGAGTATTTCACCAGTTCTTTCTGTGAAAGCCATATTTACACCATCAGACATCTGATCCTCGACGACCTAGAAGGTTTATACATAGATGAGATTATTTCGAGTTCTATTCATGCATG